CTCAAAATCAGATGAGAAGAAGAGATACAATTATGGATAACTATTTTGTGGATTGTCCAGCCACCCTCTTATTCTTCTGCATTTCCTCCCAAATTTCTTCAGAACCTTCTGCAGCAGCGGCAATATCATCTTCCCACGCCTTTTTCTTCTTCTCTTTCACGAGGTCTTGTTCACTTTCTTTGTGATATCAATACAAAGCTTTTCCTCAGCATTGCATCAATCAATGGCTCTCGTAACTGACCCTTGAGATAGCCCAAAGGATAGTGAAGAAAAGGATAGATTTGAAGTGAAAATTTGATAAAGAAAACTGTACTTTATATAGGGGGGCGTGAAGTTATATGTTGTTTAGGGTTTCTTTTTTTAGTTTTTTTTTGAAACAATGTGTCGTTTGGTTTAGGATAAGATATTTTGAATAATATTAATATTTTATTAAAGATATTTTTAATAATAATAATATTTTATTTAAGATGTTTTTAATAATCTGTATAAGAGATGATAGAGATATTTTTTGTATACATATATCCTCAATTGATGTACTTATATCCTCATTTCACATTCTTATATCCTTAGTTCACATACTTAAAACATATTATTTTCAAAACATTATACTGATATTTTTTTTATTAATTGAAACACTTTTAAATTCATTAAACATACGAATATCCTCTATTGTGAGGATCATATCCTCTTATGTGTGAATCGTATCCTCAATCCTTTGAATGATATTCTATATATTCTATATGTGTAATTGGTATCCTCATTTCACATTCTTATATATATCCTCAGTCCACATACTTATATCCTCTGTTCATAAACATATTCTTTTGAGGATATCATATGTCTATTTGAGGATATGGTATAGGTTTTTGAGGATATCATATGTCTATTTGAGGATATGGTATATTTGTTTGTGGATATAATATGTGTGTTTGAGGATATGATATATTTGTTTGAGGATATCATATGTATCTTTAAGGATATGATATATTTGTTTGAGGATATGATATATTTAGGCTTTTAATGATATCATCTAAATTTAGGAGTATTTTTTTTTCTCAATTGAGGATATGATATGTCTATTTGAGGATATGATATATTTGTTTGAGAATATCATATGTGTGTTTGAGGATATGATATATATTTGTTTGAGGATATCATATGTATCTTTGAGGATATCATATAGTTGTTTGAGGATATGTTATATCATCTTAACTTAGGAGTATTTTTATTTTCTCAATTGAAGATATGATATATTAATTTGCGGATATGAAATGTATTTGAGGATATTTATTTTCCGATAAAGCAGGTTATAAAATACATAATACATCATTTTATTTATCTTATTATCATAATAAAGCATAATACATAATATATAACATTTCAGGATTAAAACAAAATAATAGTACAACATCTTAAATACCATTTTCGGCTTCGGTAGGAAGCCTTTCATTACCATTATTATCATAAACTCTAATATAAAAAGTTTTATTTTTATAATACACATGAAGATGTTCACCAACAGCTAAATTATTTCTATCCACAAAGTCCTACCACTTTTCATCAATGAAAAATCCTCTAGAATTGTCTGTATCTTCTTCCACACTTAGCACCTTGACGTTCCAAGCACGTCCATTGTTCCCTCTATACACTCTTGTTGTATCTTTAAATGAAAGCAGTAATAACTTGCATTTGGCAGGAAGAGGTTGAAAACACACATTAACAAAAAATTAATTACTAGTAAGATATAAACACTATTATATTAGATAAAAATATAATAACAAGCGAAAATTTGCAAGACGGTCTTCATTTCATAGTGCAGTGTTCCATGTTTTCATAAAAATTCTCATTCTCCATTTCAAACAGGAAGGGTTTTTTTTTATTATTTAATTTTTATTTTATTTTTTGAAGAAGAAGAATTAGAAGAAGTGTAAATATGATTTCCAAAAAATAACACTCCAAAAATCTAAAGCCTGCTATAAAAAAAATTGTAGATCTACTATTTATTATTCTTTTAACAAAATGACAAACCAAATATATAAAACCTATATGATTAAAGTGTTTTTTGTCAATGGTGATAGATGTATATGATAACTTGGTCTTATATGATCCATACGTTTGATGATATAATCTAGTCTTTGAAGGTTATCATTTAGTCTTTGTCTGATATCATTAATTCTTTTTAGGATATCATCCAGTATCTTACATGATATAATTCGTTCTTTAGAAGATATCTTCTTTTTGTTGTATAAGAAGTATAATTTATTCTTGATTAAATAAATCATTAATATATGGTTTGACAAAAAACTGATATAAACATGATTTTTAGCTTTAACGTTTGAAAAAATAAAATTTTATTTGCCTAATTCAGATATTACACATAGGAAATATTAAGATTTGACTAATACAATATGTTTATGATTTCCAAAAAAACAAAAAATAATGCTGCAAAAGACTAAACACTGCCAAAAGAAAAATTTACTTTTACTATTTAAGATTCTTTGAATAAGATGACAAATTAAATACATACAACTTAAATGATTAAAGTGTTGGATGATATATGACAAAAAAAATAAGATTCGAAAAAATTAATCAACTTCTTGTATCTTCTGTCACTTTAAGCAATTGCACATTTCATACTCGCTGAATATGCACATTCCATAAGCAATTTTAGATACACATCTAGTCTTTGGATGATATCATCATCTCTTAGGAGGATATCAACTAGTTTGTGGAGGATATCATTCAGTCTTTGGATGATATCATTTACTCTTTAGAGGATATCATATAATATTTGTATTATATTAGTCACAGGTTGGATGATAAAATCTAATCTTTTAAGGATATCATCTTCACTTAGTAGGATATCAACTAGTATTTAGTGTTTGGATGATATCATTTACTCTTTCGAGGATATCGTCCAGTCTTTGGATTATACATCTAGTCTTTTAAGTATATCGTCCAGTCTTTGGATTATATTAGTAGCAGGTTGGATGATAAAATCTAGTCTTTTAAGGATATCATCTTCACTTAGGAGGATATCGACTAGTATTTAGTCTTTAGAGGATATCATCTAGTCTTTTAAGGATATCGTCCAGTTTTTGGATTATATTAGTAACAGGTTGGATGATAAAATCTAGTCTTTTAAGGATATCATCTTCAATTAGGAGGATATCAACTAGTATTTAGTGTTTAGAGGATACTATCTAGTCGTTAGAGGATATCGTCCAGTCTTTGGATTATATTAGTAACAGGTTGGATGATAAAAACTAGTATTTTAAGGATATCATTTTCACTTAGGAGGACATCAATTAGTATCTAGTCTTTAGAGGATATCATCCAGTTGTTGGAGGATATCATCTAGTCTTAATCGTGCCTGCAAAACCCTGTACAAACGGGCTTCAAACCCGCGTCTTTTTTAATCAAGCCCGTAAAGCCCGGTACAACCGGACTTCAAACTCGCCCCTTTTTTCAATTCGTGGTTTGTGTTTTGACGCACGAGATGTTTCGTCAGTCCAGCCGTACATAATATGTTCTCTTGATTTAATAATATTATTAAAATCATACATGATCATACTATAACATAAAAAATCATACTTGAACAAACCATAGTTTTTACTCCATATTTAGACCACTCTCAATGGTAAGCAAAAAAAATGCTCACCCACTCTCTCTCTTCCCACTTTCTCTCTCAACAAATTAGTTTTGCTCATGGGCAAATTTTTTTCACATTTTCTCTCCCAATGGTGAGCAAAAAAAATGCCCACCCACCACTCTCTCTCTCTTACTTTTTCAATACCCCACCATTACTTTCTCTCTCCTACACAACACTTCTTTATTTATTAATTTCATTTATATTTTAACAATATTACTCCAAATAAATAAAAACTATTTTAAATTTGTGTAACATATTTTTTTAATTTTTGTCTTTTTTATCGTTAAAATTTGTCGTAAAATTAAGTACGTTATTATAAATAATTGTAAAAAAAGCTCAAAATTTCTTAAATGTTTTTATTTTTTTTTAAAAGCGGTACAATACTAGAAACCAATTACATTTGCAACGTCATGCGCAATTAAACTTAAGAAATAAAATAAACACAACAATTAAAAAATAACTCGACTACGTACGGAAAAGTAGATAGGCCATAGTACTAGGCCTAAAGTCGTGCTAATTTTTCCCTAATTACCTGGCCCGTATTGTAACCAAATATGTTCGACTAAATCACGTTTCAGAGATAGATGAATTTCTCTATCACGGAGGGAAGCTTTTCGCTGTAGAAATGCGTTAAAGTCAAAGTCGGTAGGTCGGCCTACATTGAATTCAAACGGTGGCGTTGTAGACGTTGATGCTGGTGTTAATTCTTGTTGATCTTCTTCGTAGAAGGCTCTTAGAACTTCGGCTCGAGTGTAGTTGTGGCGCTCATCTTCAACAATCATGTTGTGCATAATGATACATGCTTTCATTATGTCCCGCAGTATGTCCTCGTCGTACGCCAGCGACGGTTTTCGTATTATTGCAAATCGAGCTTGCAAAACATCGAAAGCTCTTTCAACGTCCTTTCGAGCTGCAGCCTGGTGGTCAGCGAACATTTTATCTTTGGCCAGTTGAGGGAATGTGATACCCTGAACAAAAGTTGCCCACTTCGGATAAATGTCGTCGGCTAAGTAATAAGCCATGTTGTATTCATGGCCGTTAACTGTAAAATTTACCGGAGGAGCTCGACCATGAAGAATCTCATCGAACACTGGTGAACGGTACAACACATTAAGATCATTACAAGATCCGGGAATACCAAGAAGGAATGCCATATCCATAAATTCTGATCCGCAACGGCTTCCAGTATTAGCGTTGCTTTCTTGTTCCTACCGGCGTACTGCGCTTTCCAAGCCGTTGGACAGTTCTTCCATTCCCAATGCATGCAATCAATGCTGCCTATCATGCCTGGAAAACCACGTAGTTCATTTTGATGCAGTATCCGGGCCAATTCATCAGTTGCAGGGTTTCACATGTACTCGGTTCCGAACTGATCAATGACCCCGGCACAAAAACGTTGTAGGGCAACTCGAGCGGTTGACTGACTGATTCGAGCGTATTCATCAACGGCGTCTGCAGCCATGCCGTAGGCTAACATTCTTATCGCGGCTGTACATTTTTGCAGAGGTGATAAGCCTAACCTTCCAGTTGCATCCCTACGCTGCTTGAAGTAAACATCACCTTCAACGACCTTGTTCATTATGCGTAAAAACAAAGGCCGTTGCATACGAAATCTTCTTATAAATTGCGTGGTGTTGTACACAGGATTATCGGAAAAATAATCATTAAACAACCTGGCATGTCCCATTTCCCTATCTCTTCTGTTCGTACACCCTCTACGTGTTTTTGAAGTACGTTGGGATTGTGTTTGGGGCATGAGGAAAGATGGGGGTTGGTATGTGAAGAGTTCATCAACGAGTTGATCATATTCTTCATTATTAGAAGAAGATGAACTTGAACTTGAACTTGATGATGATCTGGAATACATCATGTATTAATATTGTAATTTTTTGAATTGGTGTGGTTGTGGATATGTGCCATGCCTACTACATATAGCAAATATATCAAATGAATATGTGGTTACAAATCTGAATGACCACACCGACTAAAGCAATCAAATTTTCAGCCACGGAATAGGTATACTATGCTAGTTGACAATGACAAATCTTGACAAAGTGAATTCAGAAAGATGTGACTACACCATGACAAAGACTTATTGCAATTATGTCGGTATCAATGACCCAAAGTTAAAGCATACTGACAAAGTTAATTCAGAAAAATGTGACTACACAATGACAAAAATGTGACTAATCAATGACAAAGAGTTATTGCAATTATGTTGGTATGAATGACCCAAAGTTAAAGTGAAATCAGACCAAAAGTGACTACGCAATGACAACAATTGAATGCAACTATGTCGGTAACAATGACAACTGAAATCAACTTGTTAAACAACTTGTCATTCAATATTGGAAAATCAGAATACAAGTTTACATATGACATTGAAATTAAACACATCACTAATACAAGTTAAACATAAAAGACTATATTGCGCATAATTAAAAACTTAACTAATACAAGCGTACACCTACTACAACCAAACATGCTTACAAGCCCTGTAATTTACCCAGTAAAAAATTCTTGTACGACTCTTCTTCCTAGTGAGTGGCGTAGGCGAATTCTTCAGAGCTTGCACCATATCAAACCAGGTTTTCATCTTATGAATGTCAAGTTCCTCCCTTTTCCTCTGTTCCTTGTCCTTTTCAATTTTGATCCTCTCTTCTTTCAGAAGGGCCTCCCTCTCGCGAATTGTAGCGAATTCCTTCATTCGTTCGCTAAGCTCAAACGAATCACTTTCTGAAGCTACTTCTTTCCCTTTACGCTTGGCCTTTGCTTTCTTCACACCTTCGGGTCGTTGTATTCCTCCAGATGAAAAACCATCCGTAGGGGTTTCATCCCCTCCATCATCTCTGGACCTCTTCCCACTTCCAGCACTACCTTGCTCCTCAACATCACGAACAGCTTTTCTTTCCTTCTTTGACAAGGACCATCTCAGCTTCGGCCTCCACTTTGGATCTCTATTAAGCATTTCAACCGCGTGAGGAAAAGCAAAATTGCGACCTTGGGCGAGATGAAAAAGCTTCGACGCACTTTTTATAATGTCAGCTTCGTTGTAACCACTCCCTCCCTCCGGAAGTCTACCTGCTTCATCATAGCAAGATATCCGCTGTAGTGTGTCTGCTGCCAACCTTCTCCAGTGCGACGTCAGACTCTTCATAGGTCTTGGTGGAAGTATATGCGGCTTCTCCGCATGAGCAATTTGATATGCTGCGTGTACATCGCGCCAAAGGGAAGTTGCTTTCTGGCTCGTGCCTTTAATAACATTCTCGCTGATCTCCAAGTACAACCCAATCAGAGTTTCATCTTCCGCAACTGACCAAATTCGAGTCGCTCGTGCAACAACCTGGTTGGATTTCAGTTCGGGAACTGGTGGAGGATATTGCGGCGTCTCTGGTACGCTGTCCTCTTCGCTCTCATTGAATTGTGTGTTGCTATCATGTTCAGTTTCAGGTGTACATTCTTCATTAACATGGTTTCGTAGGGGAAACTGAGTGGGTGTCTGATACTGTGGAGGTACTAATTTTAATTTTAATACATAACTAAATTTTAATATTAAAAAAACAAATTAACCAATAATTGCAAGACTTTATTAACTACAAATTTAGTAATGTATGGAGAAAACATAAACAACTTTCTTCAATTACATAATGCAACTACATTACATGGCCTACAATATTTTTTTTTTTCAAAAAAAACACACATATACTAATTTTAATACATAACTACATGTATATATTTTAAAAAAAAAATTAACCAATAATTGCAACACTTTATTTACTACAAATTTAGTAATGTATGGAGAAAATATCAACAACTTTCTTCAATTACATAATGCAATTACATAACATGGCATACAATATTATTTTTTTTCCAAAAATCACATATATACTAATTTTAATACATAACTACATGTATATATTTTAAAAAAAAATAACCAATAATTGGAACACTTTATTTACTACAAATTTAGTAATGTATGGAGAAAATATCAACAACTTTCTTCAATTACATAATGCAATTATATAACATGGCATACAATTTTTTTTTTCCATAAATCACATATATACTAATTTTAATACATAACTACATGTATATATTTTTTTTAAAAAAATAACCAATAATTGCAACACTTTAACTACAAATTTAGTAATTTATGGAGAAAATATCAACAACTTTGTTTAATTACATAATGCAATATAATTACGTGGCCTACAATATTTTTTTTTTATTCAAAAAATCACATATATACTAATTTAATTACATAACTGAATTTAAATATTAAAAAAAAAAAAAAAAATTTACCTCAATATGGGTGTTTTGCAACAAAAATATTCTTCTACAAATTTTAAATGCTTAAGAAAATAAAAAAGTGGAGGATTTAAAGTGATTACGAAATTATATCAAAATATATCAAAATGCATGTCTATTTATAGAGAATTTAATTTTATGACCGTTGGTAATTTTTTTTTTTACTAAATATATTTTTCAGAAAATGAAATACAAATATTATTACCGTTGTAAACGGCTCTAATTTTTTCATTGGCCAACAGCCTGCACAAGACACTTGGCGCGCTCCCACTGGCGGATTGGCTGACGCGCTACAGTAACTCTGCTTTTTTTTTTTTTTAAAATTTCTGAACCTCAAAACGACGCGTTTTGAGGCGCGCCTTTAAGGCTGCTTGCCCAAAACGCGTCGTTTTGATATGCTGGCAGCCAAATTTTTTTACACGTCGCTGCATGTTGTGGGGCCCACTTCTAACACTATTCATCAGTAAAAATGCCCAAGCTATGGGCGTTTTTGGATTTGCCCATGGGCTTTTTTTGGTTTTTTGGATTTGCTCACCATTGTAGTTGATGTAATTATTTATGGCTAGACTCTAGTTTAGCCATTTATCCCTACACCCCCCCTAAACGACGCCGTACCACTAACTTCCAGTAACTTCCCTCTAAAACTGCCAGTAACTTCCCACTACCCCACCCATATATATATATATATAATTAAAAAAAAAACTTTTCAAATAATCACATTTTTCTTTCTCATCCTCTTTCTCCAATTTCTCACTCAACCTCCATTTTCTCTCTCTACTCCATTTTCGTACATGCAACTAGCAAGTAAAATTGTCTAAAATGTCCAACATAAGAGACGAAATTGCACAATCTCGACAAATTTCAACAACAACAAACCAAAAATCTAATGAGTAAGTATGTTTTACATGTTTAGTGTAAAATTAATTGAAAATTCCAAAACAAAACCCTAATTTTTTGGTATTTTTTCTTTTTGATGATGCTTCAGGAAAAAAATTGAAAATACTGGAATTCCAGAACAATCAAAGTAAGTATTACTATTTTTTTTGGAATTATAAGCATAAATTTATTTAAATTTGCTCATATTTAAACAAGTTACTGTTTAATTTCAAAATAAACTTAATTTTCCTCTATTTCTGAGACGATAATAAAAATTTAAACAAGTTACTGTTAATATTGGAATGTATGCATAATTTTGATTAAATGATCAACCAAAAAAAATATAAAGTATAGTATTGTGAAATATATTGAACAAATACAAAACAGTATATGTTCAAATTGGATTGTGTGCATATGTGTGTGCATATATATGTATACATATGTTCAAATTTGTATATTATGTGTACAACATGCAATTTATGTTTGTTTCTAAATTGTTCATTTCTAAATTTATTTGTATACATTTACTGACATATTAATTGTTCATTTCTAAATTCCATTTTGTACAAATAGAAAACATATACTTTATTCATCTGTGTAGTAAAATGAACATTTACAAAACACTATATTGTCAAAATTCATATTATGTTATATATATCCATATATGTGTATACAAATGTTCATTGCTACAACTATATTGATCATTTATATGAACTATTCTGTACATTTGTCTAACATAGAAACATCATGTCAATTTTTATGATTTACAATATTAATTTACATTGTAGTGATGTACCATTTAAAGTGATACACTTGATGCAATTTGACAATGGAATGTTCAATCCTTATCCTATAATTCATGAGAGAAAAAAATGTTCTAAAATAGACAACAAATTGGATAGAAATGAAGTTATAAAAAAGTGGGAACCCTATTTATTAGGAGACAACCTACATCCCAAGTAAGTTGATATACTTACAAATATTCATATATATAATATTTAATATACAATCATTTACTTCAATACTTAATCTCATAATTGAAATAATTTGTAAAATTTTAATAAAAAAAAATCAATTAATAAAGTATAAATATTTAATAAAAATTTAATAATTAATTTTTATATAGTTATATAATCATATTTTTATGTATTAATATTTGAAAAATTTTAGTGAATAAGAGAAGGAAATTTAAAAAATAGATGATGTATTAATAAATTAAGGGTATATTTTGTTTTAATGTGTTTAATGTTTATTTTTTTATTAATTTGTAAATGATTTATTTATTTATTTATTAATTTGTAAATGATTTAAATGTATAGGTGGTGAAGAAATTTAGATTGAGGATGAAACAGAAGAAGAATTGGAAAGACAAGAAGAATTGCAAAGGGATGAGGAGTTGACAAGAATATTGAGAGGTATAAAACCTGTTGAAGAGTTAAATTTGTCTCAAAAGAGTGAAGAATCTTCACAAAATTCAAAGCAACCAAGAAGGAAAATGGTTGCAAGGAAAAATCAAAAGAAAAAAGAATTGGAAGAAAATCAGAAAAAACAGGAAGATGAACAATCACCAGCAAGAAGAACAAGAAGTAAATCACGAGGTAAATAAAATGTACAATTTCTAATATAACAATGATCATATTAAATAAAATATTACAACTATACTAATATTTATATAACAATGTTTATTTGCAGATGTTAAGTTGCCTGGCATATCAGCTATAGCAACAGCTGCTGCAGCAATTGCTGAAAACCTACCAGCAGCAACAACACCCAAAAAACCTGGGCGTCCAAGGGCTGCAACTGCAGTTGCAGAGAAACCTGCTGAGAAAACAGGGCGTACAAGGGCTGCAGTTATTGGGAAAGCAGGCCAAAAAGGTAAAAGAACATATCTAAAACAATAAATGTTCAATTACAATCTTACACTTTTAAAATGTTTATTTTACTTAATGTAATTGATCAAATAATTAGGTGGTCAGAAAAGACCTGCTGCATCAGCCAAAGGTCCTGCAAAAAAAAAGAAAAGTCATAGATCAAGTGCCTTATGATGAACCATCAGAGGATGAAGAACAAGAAGAAGTCCCTGCAACAAGTTCTGCTCCTGCAGAAAAGAAAATTCTTAAAAAAGTAGAACAAAAAGGTAATGTACATATTAATAAAGTTAAATGTTCAAATACAAACTAGCAATTTACACTTTCATATATATATGTTCATTTTACATATTATAATTGATCAAATGTTTAGGTGGCCAGAAGAGGTCTTCTGCATCAGCTAAAGGCCCTTTGAAGAAAACAAAAATCATTGAAGAACAATCAAAGGAGGAAAATGAAGAAGATGATAAAAGTAATACTGATAGTGGATCAGACAGTGAGGATCCAGCTTTTGATGCTGAAAAAGAAGAAGATGAAGAAAGTGAGGAGGTGGAAGTAGTTCAAGAAAAGAAAACAACATTGAAAAAACCAAAAGCTGAAGAAAAAAGAATGGTTCTGTATGAGAGGGAACCAATAAAAAAGATTGTGAAGAGGAAAACTGAATTTTCAGTGGCTAAAAAAAAGAAGAGGAGGAAGAAAAGAATGAAGAGGAAGTTGGAAGTTCGACAAGAGGAGGCCATGTCAAATTCATGCATTGGGTTAAGAAAATGAGTGATACACAGAAGAAATTAGTGCATGAAATAGGACTGGGGCCGTTGTTGGATATAGAACTTCCTCAGCTTGACAAACAATTCAGCCATTGGGTTTTAGATAGCTTTGAAGTCAGTAGTTGTAGTTTTGAGCTGCCTAAAGGTGAGAAAATTGAAATTGAGGTGGAGGATGTGAGAATTGTATATGGTTTGCCAATGGGAGACATTCCCATTGTTGAAGCCAAATCAGACAGAGCAAGTGAAGATTTTGGTGTATTTATAAAAAATTGGAGGTCAAAATGGCAAGGCAAAACACCATCTGTAAACCAAATTATTGCTCAATATACAAGTGATAAATTCAAAAACCAAAGGCCAGCAGAAGAAGATTTTCTCACCAACTTTTTGGTAGTTGCTGTGAATTGTTTGATGAAGTGTATTTCAAACAACCAATGCTATTTCAAGTTTCTATTTTCTATGATGGACAAAGAAAAAATAAAAAACTTGAATTGGTGTCAGTAAGTGTTTGACTCTCTCATCAGTTGCCATGTGACATGGAGAAAGAGTGGAAGAAAAGGATTCTACAATGGACCACTGCAATTTCTGATGGTAAGTTTACAACACACAATAGTAAATTATAAAATGTTCATTTTAGTAACAATGAATGTTCATTAACAAAATGTTAAATATCGATTTCGTCTAAAATTTTAATCTTTTATATTAATTGTTCATTTGTATTATATTATATGTTCATTTATAGTAATGGGTTTTGGTGCAGCTGTTCTACTTTGACAGAGTTCAAAGATTGAACAAAAAACAACCAAGAACAATTCCAATAATTTCTTGTTGGAAAAGGGATATGTCACTTGAAAGGATAAAAACAGAAAATGATTTGAACTATGGATATGGAAAAGTCCTTCCAAGAATAGAAGAAAAGCCTGAAGACAATCCTAAGGTATAAAATGATCATTTATAAATTATGAAATGTTCAATATCAAAACACATAATGTCTTATATGATTTTTTTATATGTTCTATAAATGACATGTCTTTATGAATGAATTTGCATCAATGGTACAAGAAGTTGGTGCATCTTTGGCAAGACTTTCTACCAAATTGGTTAAGGCAAAAGAGCTCTTCCCTGAGAATCAGTTGGTCAAGAAGGTAGATGAAGTGTTGGGAAAGATGGCAAGAGAACCATCAATTCTCAGCCAAGATGAAGAAATATTTGGATCAGAGGATTTTTTGAATGCCATAGCTCAAATTGAGAAGGAACTGATGGAGGCAAGTGAAGCAGAAAAAAAGAAAATAGGAAATGAGAAGGAATATGATATAAGGAAGGTATTCAGTTTGGGTTGCAACTTAACTCCCCCAACTCCAACAACTGGTAAATATGCTTAATTAAAAACTGTCATTAATTTGAATATCCTTACTTAAAGAGTATAATATAATTAAAGAATTAAAATTTAATTTATTTGAACACAGAAGCACAGATTAAGGTTGCAGCCACAACTTCAACAACAACTGATGCAAATGTTTCTTCTAAGCCAGAAGAGGGTAAAGCTTTAATATCTATGTACAATTATGAAAAGTATAATGTTCATTTATAAAATAATAAGTTTGTTTAGTCTAAATATTCAAAAAAGTATATATTCAGAATAACAAATGTTCATTTACATTAACAATTTCATATATTTTAAATCAACAGAAAGAGTTGGAGGTTCAAATTCTGAAGAACCACAAGATGGAGGAAATTCAAAAAAGGTAAAAAGTTCACTTATATAGTATTAAATGAACATTTGTGATTGTAAAATATTCTTCTTTAATGATACTAAGTCTATATATGTGTGAATGCAAATTAATACAAAAAGCATTAAACAAAGGTGAAGGTTCAAAATCTGAAGCATTAGAAGAAAATGTTGAAGGAAATTCAAAGAGTGGTACAATGTTCACATATTACAAATAAATGATCAAATTATTAAGTATAATGTTCATTTCTAGTTATATTAAATTTTTTTCATGTATTTTGTTTGCAGCATCTGATTCAAAAGTTGGTGATCCCAAGACACCAACTGAAAATAGGGAAGGTGCTGGAGATATTTCTACAATCTTGAAATCTCCAGCATGTTCAAGTATGGAAGATATCATTGATAAATCAAACAAGAAAGGAGGAAGCATGGGGTAAACATGGAAGACCTATCTTGTTAGAAAATATATAATTTTGAATGGACATGTAGAATAAATTTGGTTATAAAGTGTAATTATTTTGGACAGTTTTTGTTTGTGAAGTTAGTAATGGATATGTATTATAAAATCAGAAGGGAATATTTTGCTTTAGGGTAGGAATGCACAATTTAAGATATGTAAATTATGTATTTTAATTTAAATGTCTTAGTAATATTTTAAGTGTTTATTGTTCAAAAAAGGAGAATAATGTTTTTTTTTTATATTAATTACTCTTCATTACTAACCATGATTAATATTTCAGAGAAGACAAGAAGAAACAGATATATGCTTCAAATGTGAAGGAAAGGTAAATGATTATTCCACATATACATGTTCTTTTTCATTAAACTGAATAATCATTTATACTATATTTATATTCAGTGAGACAAAAAAGGATTCAAAAGAAATTGAAACAGAGAAGATTCAAATTTCCAAAAACACAACAGGACAAAGGTAAATGGTCTTTACATGTGTATAGATTTATAATGTTCATTATCAATATACTAAATGATCATTCATAATTCAATATTTATTCAGTGACAGAGAGAAGACTTTGGAAAGAAAAAAATCAAGAGAAGCTGAGAAGGAAAAAACTGAGATTGCAAAGGAAAAAGAGATAAGGTATTACTATTTGTTCTTTATATAAATTATTTGTTCATTATTAAAAAAATTCATATTTGTATTAATATATGGTCACATTAACTAGGCCACAAAGGGAAATCCCAAATGTTCCTCTTGCTTTCCGATCTCCATACATGGTCAAGTACAAGGATTTGTTCAAAGATGAAGACACAATGAACAAACTTGTAACAGACTATGCTTATAGTGGAAAAGATCAAAGGTATACATCACTTACTTCATTAAAACTTTAACATTATGTTTGTTGTAAACTCATAAAATTTAAAAAATTGATATTTTGCAGTGAGCTACTATACTATGATGGAGTGAATTCGATCAATAGGGAAGAGATGAAAACTCTTGAAGGGGATACATTAGTAGTTAACAATGTGATCGATTCATGGGCAGTACTTCTGAATCAAAAAAGGTCAAAGAACAAGTTATACTTTTCAACATTTCCACATGTAAGTCTTTATTGAAATTACACATGTATACATTGGTGTACTAAAATGATCAATTCACTTATACTAGATGATCATTATGAATATTAAAATGATCCTTGTGCATTATTTGCAGCAAATTATGTATGCAAATACAGTGTGTCCTGAAGGATCATCAATGGAGCTTAGAATTGCATACTTCAAAGAAAGAATAACAAATGAATTGAGGTTATACAAAATCAAGAGTGCAGTTGGATATCAACAGGTATTAATGAACAATATGGAATTATAATATGTTCATTTACATTAATGTGTATATATAATAATATTGTGTACTATGTACAGATTTTTTTTCCAGTGGCCATATATGCACATTTCTATCTTCTATGCATTGATCATATCAATGAGACAATGCATATAATTGACAACAGGAAACTGCCAAAACATCAAACAATTGCAACAAAGTATGAAAACCAACCCCAATTGGTGGTAAGTATATTGTTTAATAGATATATAAATGATCAATTTGTTTATACAAAATGATCAATATTGAAAATTAAAATGATCAATATTAATATGATCCTTTGAATTTTTTTTTTCTGTATATGTTGCAGTTAAAAGGATATGCAGAATATTTGAAAGGGTTGGGGTATGAAGATGCAGATTCTATTGAGAAATATAAGGTGGTTTTGCAAAAAATGAAGTGGAGGAGCAACGAAGATTACACCAACTGTGGAGTTTACATTATGAAACATATGGAAACTTTCACTGCTGATCCCAATGAAGAATGGGTTTGTGACCTAAAACCAAACAATGTAAGTAAATTTCAACAAAACAAAAAAATATACTTCATGATCACTTTATAATACATAATGATCATTTATATCCCATTAATGTTCATGTTTATAATAAATTATTTTCTTGGAACAGGTGAACCAAATCAGAAAGCTCAGAGTACAATACACTGCTGAACTAATGCTGAATGAAGGAAACAGGTAGTCACAGAACAATAGAAGAGCAGCAAGAAGATTTGCACAAGCTTAATACAATATGTTCATATATAGACATATATATGATCATACTTGCTTTCAGTATTTGTATGGACATAAGTTTTTGTTGTTGTTGTTCAAGTAAAGACAAAATTTATTATCTTTTTAATATTTACAAATAGTAAAGTGTTACATTATAAGTGCCAGTTTTAAATCATCTAATATAATTATTCCAATTTAATAATGGTTCTTACTATTTAAAATAGTATATGATCACTTCCAAAAGCAAAAATAATCATTTATAGAACATTTAAGAATAGTTTGAAAAAAAAAATTCAAATTACTTAATAAATCAAAATATAAAAAACTTAAAGCACTTGAATCTCTATAAAGTTGAGACAACTAAAAATGTTGATAGTTAAACACCAAAACATAATTGCATATTGATTTACTCTCTTATTTACCATTTGTAGCCAATCTCTTAGCCACACTAGTATCAAAAAACGCTAATAACCTATCATATTTGGTTGAAATCTGTGGAGAACCTCCTTGAGTACTTCTTGAAACAGTAGGAGATCCTTGAACATTCATTGAAACACTAGGAGAAAGTAGAACATTCCTTGAAACACTAGGAGAAACTTGCACATTCCTTGAATTTCCTTGAGTACTTCTTGGAACATTAGGAACATCATGCACATTTCTTGAAATACTAGAATCAACTTGAACATTCCGAAAACAGCCTTGAGTACTTCTTGGAACATTAGAAGGAGCTTGAACTTTCTTCGGAACACTAGAACGAACTTGAACATTTCTTGAAGCTTTTGGAGGATTTTGAACAATGCTAGAAACTTTAGAAGGAGCTTTAGCATTGATTTGAGCATGCACAACTGTGGGAAATTGTACATTTCTTGGTTTCTTTGGTGGCAATTGAGAACTTGTTGGAAAATTATCAACATCATGAGCAATTGCAGCTGTTTTACCCTAATAATCAAAATTAAAATAATTAATGATCAAATTCAAAATTCATAATGACCTTATACAAAATTAAAAGGTAGATGATTAATATTTCACCTTAACAATAGAAGATATGTCTGGATCAACATTAACGTTTGATTGCATAGAGCTATATCCATATTCCTATGATAAAATGAAAATTATAAAAACATTATAATCACAACTTAAACTACTAAAATGAACAACTACAATTACATACATAATCATTTACATAATACCTGTTCAAAGTCATTTGAAACACTATCATCTGAAGGGATATCTTCTACAATGGCAGTCTTTTTATTACAAACCTTGAAAAAAAATTAAAAGTAAAAATGTTTAATATTCTAAAGAATTTGATAAAAACAGATAAAAAAAAAAGAAAATAAGTTTTTACCTGAGCACTTGGATCTTCAATCACAATCAACTCATTAGGATCAGCCAAAGAATTAGCATAAGATATAGGACACCCATTCTCGTCCAATTCCTAAGGCAAAACAAAAATGTTCAATTCTTGAACATAAATGATCAATAACAAAAACATAAATGTGCATTATTACCTGAACTACTGCTTGAACTTTAGATCTTTTATAAGGAGTGTATACTGACTTTTTCTTCAACCACTAACCCCTGGCTTTGTTATAAGCCTTCTCTAAATTACTCTTAGGCCTATAATTCCTCTCTCCAATAGGTCTTGATTTTGCCGGATTCTTAACTTCATGATCAACAATTTCAATACCTTCAACCGGTTCATTAAAATCAATAGTACCAGTAACACTCTCAATCTTTTCTTTTAAAAGATTGAAATAACATTCAACCTCTGCTCTAGCATTCAAAGAGTGTTGACAACTTGTTACCAACTTAACAAATTTCCTTAGTGTTTGTGTCCTCCAAACACTTGTAGATACTACATTGGTTTTCATTGTAGGTTCATCAAGGCCATGACTACACATAGCAGCCTTAGTCCACCTCTTACATATATAGTCATCTGGAATCTTATGAACACAATTCATATGATAAATTCGAAGAGCATGACAACAAAGCAAACCCATTTCACTAAACAACATGCATGTACAACATATTGCATGTGTTTCTTTATTAAAAACAACCTCGTGCTTGATCATATCTTTCCCAGGTCTCCACAAATGATAATAATATTTAGGAAAATTCACACCAGCATCCTTATGATCACAAGCAGTACCCTTAATGAACTCTTCCTCAAAAAGCACATAAGCTTGAATAGTATACAATGATCTAGCATGAACAAGAATCTCAATGTATGCAAAGGCCAAATGACGATTACCTCTGATAGTATTATAATCTCTCCCTTTTTCTTTGCTTCTCCACTCTTGAACCACTTCGAGAAACACTTGATAGAAATCACATAGACCTTGTGTCTTGTTAAGCCTTTGAGAAACTGATTTGTTAGTTGTCTCACTACGTTGAGATGAAAGCACACCTCCTGACCAAAATTTCTTTGAAAAAGCTGGACACCACATCTCTTTGATTTTATACAAATCATTCAACCAATCAACATTTGCACAGTCATATTTCAACAACATTCTGTAAATGAAACATGATCATTAAGCATAACAGTTATGATCATTATAAATAAACATTTATAAAAAACTAAATGTTCATTTCTGTAAAAATTATTTAAGAAGCTAAACAAGTATAAAGCAGAAGTACCTTTTCCAATAATGCTCAAATTCTGGTGGAGTTTCACAATACTTCAGTAAATAACCAAATAAATCAGTGAAACCATCCAAAGCTCTCAACGCCCTAATGTGTTTCTTAGAATTTTGTTCAATATGCCACACACATAATCTATGATGAACACCTTTGGGGAAAATATTTCTTATCCCAGCTGCAATTGCTTGAGCTTGATCAGTCATAATAGTAATAGGACTTCTCCTTCCCATAGAAGTTAGAAAAGTATCAAATAACCACTCAAATGATTCTGTTCTTTCATTAAGTATAAATCCCATGCCAAACATCACATTATTTGCATGATGATTCATACCCACAAATGGAGCACAAATCATACCATATTTGTTAGTCCTATAAGTAGTATCAAAAACTAACAAATCACCAAAGTAATGATAATCTCTCATCATCCTTCCATCTCTCCAAAAGAAATTAACCAATGCACCATTTTCATCTTGTTCAAAATCATAATAGAAATTTGCTTCATCAATTTGTCTCTTAGCAAAAAATTTGATTAGTTGATTGTTGTCACCTCCCCCAAGTTTAGCTGTCTTTTCAACAGAAATAGCATTATAAGCATCAGGAGCTGTAAAACAAAGGTTAGGAGACCCTCCAACCTCCTTCTTCAAAGCTCTCAAAGAATCAGAAACTTTAACTCCACTCAATCTAAGTGTAGAAATGAAATTAATATGTTCCTTAGAAATATCCCTTTGAGACCTTATTAAATGTCTCTTGTCAACAGGAATCATTTCATGATTATGAACCATCTCATGTCTTGTACATGTATATACACCTGAACGGTCAATACTAAACTGCACAAAAGCTAAGCAACCAGTCCTTATGTTAAGTCTCTCATACATCCTATTATTCCTGCACTTATCATCTTTAAAACCCTCATTTGTACAAACAAATCTTTTCATAGAGAATGAATCATCTCTTCGCCTCTTACTTTTTCCAATTCTAATTCCAAAGCCCTTTCTAAATGCATATTCATTAAACATTTCATAAGCCACATCTTCAGAAGGAAATTGTTTCCCATAAAATTCAGAACTAGCTGCTTCCTCAAATAAAATAGCATTCTTTTTTTCCACTGCAATATTAAAATGTAACAAATGAACACAAATAATAGCAATAATGTACAATAACCACATGTAAACTGTTAATGATCATTTATCATTACATAAATGAACATATATCAAAATGATAATAAAACATATAAATGAACATTTATGATTACATAGATAAATGTAAATTACAGTAATTACACCTATGTTAACGTAAATGTACATATAATCTAACATACATGAGCATTAATTGAATGTCAAATTTTATAAAACTATAGACAATCATTAAAATGCAGAAAACTGGAAAAAACATCAATCGAATAACAACATTACAAAGAAAAACAATAAAATCACAACAATACATCACAAACTATAAATTAAAATAGTCATAAATAAAAATGAAATCAAATATTATAATCGACCATAATTTTGATTTTAATTCATACAATAAGCAAAACTACAAAACCAAAAATTATAATTGAGCATTATATAAACTATAGTTCATACAATTATCAAATTATGAAATCAAAATCGAACTATTACATGCGAAAACAGAGCATAATCAAAATCGAATGATTGAGGGAAAAATTACTCACATTGTTGCGAAAACGAGTCGACTAAACCAACTCCAGCAGGAAAAATAGAATCACAATCACGATCAAAAGCAATTAAGCTAGAATCACAGTCACGATCAAACACAATTGAGCTAGAAATTTTCATGGAAGAAGAGAGAGAAAAATTGGGGGAAAAATAAAAAAAGCAGGAGAGAGAAAATGAAATAAGTAAAAAAAGAGAGAAATAAAATAGAAATTAGGTTAAGAAAATCATTATATAGTTGCTTGAATAGAAAGTTAACAAAAATGAAAAAAGATAAAGAAAAAAAAATAGCAGAATGATTATTTATGGCTTGAATATAAAACGACGTAGTAGCATGGGGGTGTAGGAGAAGCTAGCTACCCTAGAGTCTAGGCAAAAATTGAGCATTTTATTTGCTCACAAAATATGCCCATAAGCAAATAAAATGCTCACCATTGTAAGTGCTCTTAATAATAAAATTTCGCAATTAATTATAAAAATATGGAATTTAAACAAGATTTACACAATAAGATTTTTAAATCAATCTCTACATAATTTTTTTCCTCATGTATTAGTGTACAAATACAGTCAAAATTCTATCAACCTATCTCTAAATGAAAGAAGTTCCAATTTGTGCAAAAACTGATCCAATAAAATAAAAATAAGGGTTTTCCTAGCTTTGGCTAACATAGTAAGATCAAGCAACCACTTTTTACATTTTCTTTTCTTAATGTTATAATTTATACAAAATCTAACAAAGTACAAATGCACCACGTTTTATAAATAACAATATCTTTGAAGATAAATTGATAAACATTGCAGACAAAATTAAACAGAAAGTAGTCCATATAAAAGGATTATTGTACGGAGTAGATGAGTAGGTAAGGCAATATTTTAAGAGGAATAATGAGTCAGCTAATTAGATAGAAATCATATAATTAGTGTCAATTAATTAGTAAACATACGGTCCCATTCATAATCTTTGTGCTTAATGATGTGGATGGACCACCTTAATTAACAGTTTTAAATAGATTTATTGCGTGTTTATTCATGCATTTGTATCTTCTGTATAACTGTTAGTCAATGCAACTTCTTACATGCCTTAATATGTCAATTTTCTTTCATTGAGGGAATATTTGTCTTACAATTGACGGCACATTGCCTTACGCCTTACGTACACTCCTATGCCTGGAGTGACTATATTTCAATTTACGTACCCTGAGAGCTAAGTGACCCGCTAGCAAAGGGATGGTTCATTTTCGGATAAAACTTATTTGGGTTGATTTTGAGTTAGGGGCTGGGTTCGAGTCATTTTGGAGATTACATTGCCAATTTATTTATTTTAATAAGATAATCATTATTAGAAATATTGATTATCCGGTTAGTTTAATTCAAGTAGGGTTACGTCAGATTAATTTAGATCCGGTTAATTGCATTGCGGGTAGTGTTTGGATTTTGCATTAGCTAACTGTGTAAAAGTCAGTTTTGCCGATAATTCTTGGAGTGAGACTTTCATTTTTCAAGCGGCTTTGCTAAGCCTAGTTCCACTCGAAATCAATTAGTTATCGGATTTATAGTTTAATAACAAGATAAGGACACTTGAGTGAAACCTCTTAGCTATCTTAGTACGGAAGGAAGAGTAAGCCTTGCTTAAAACCCCTTTATGTCTCATTTCTTGTCAATCTTGATTTCCACACCACCAATATATGTGAAGGCAACCTTGGCAAAAATGACTTTAAATTTTGCATACATGTTTATGTTTTAATTAAATTTGAGGAGAAATCCAAAGCTCCCACCCGTCCCTTATGTTGATGTCTCCTTATCCAGTTAACCTTGAAATTAGGGGTGGAGTTCATTGATGGTGGTGGGTGATGGGTTCGAGCATCCAACGTCAATTGGAACTATGATGTATTTGTAATAGAATAGCAGTAAATCATTAATTCGTACCCGTATTATTTTGGCATGTAAAGAGCCATATACAAGATTAGATCTAATCAAGAATATTTTTATTTTACCAACATATGCTCGTGTCTAATCACACCCTCTCTAAGGGCCTATTCTATTCAGCTCCATTTCAATTTAATTCAGTTCAGTTGTGCTCCAATCAGTTCAGTTCAATTCTTTTGTTAATTTATTTGTTTTATATGATTTAGCTAATGATATTGTTAGTGACAATTTAGTTTAGGCATGCCTTTGGGCCGATCTTTTTAAGTTCATCTTTATGTCTAATGATATTACTAATGATAATTAAAGCCAAATTTCATACTTTTGAATATATATTACAACAACAACATAATGAAATTGCGTAGTTTTGGGTCTTTGTTTCTTTTTTCTTTTTTCTTTTTTCTTTTTTTTTTGGATATTTTCTTCGTTTTTTCTTTTTTGGTTTGTTTTTGTTTCATTTTTTAACGGCCATACTATTATAGTAGATTAATTTCACAGGCATCAATTAACATGAAAATAAAAAATTAAAAAAAAAATACTATTAGTGGATTAATTTTGAACTTTATTTTATTTTTCATAATTATTAGTGGATTAATATCATTACTAATCCATAGTTAAAAATCATTAATCCATAGTCAAATTTTTCAGTTCAGCTCTAATTAGTTTAGTTTAATCCCAATCAGTTCAATTCAATTTAGTTATTTTCAGTAAATCAGAACAGGGCCTAATTCTATATCCCTTTTATTTCACAACAACCTACATACAACTTCTGAGGCCCATACATAATAGGTGGACAAACCCAAACGTCCTCAGTTTTAACTTTTGTGCATTATAGTTAGCATGCACATGACTTAGTTCCGGCTTAGAAATTAGAAGGCAGTTGTAGGCTTGTACCACTAGCTGCATAAAGGGACAATGTCATAATAATATCTGCACCTTAAGCGCTCTGTCTGCTGCTAAATCCCCAATGCTTGTACCAGCAATGTAGCCCCCCGTCCACGCATTCTGCAAAAGTTGTTATTCAATCTATAAGCATACAAGCCTTCATCCAAGTAACTGATGGAGGATACAGGGAGGTGAGGGAGCCTAAACAGAACAGCGGAGTACTTGCTAGAACTATGGTAATTTCCCAATTGCATGAACATCAATCAAACGGCCTTGCAACAGTAACAAAAAGAAATCAAAGAGTAAATTGTTGAAGATAACTTAGAAGTAGACCTTTGTATTGGACCTTCAAGATGCAAAACAATTAGGCAAAATGTTAAAGACAATGAACATCATATAGTGAAAACTGAAAAGAAAAAAGATTCAACTAACACCTATGACTGTATTCTCTCTTCAATTTATATTTATACTGACTTATCAGAACTTGAATCAACTAATCTAAACTAATATACTCTCTCCGTCCCATTATTTCGTGCCTGTATTCCTTTTTGGGTGTCACAAAATGTAGTGCCTGTTTTTAAATATAGCACATAATCTTAGTTTTAAAGGGCACAAGGCGCAAAAAGTCCTTGGAGCCTAGCTGCAAGGCGCGCGCCTTTTATAGGTGAGGCACACTTTATTCATATAGAAAAGAAATAATAATTTCTATTAAATAAGTGTAAAAATGAAATTATGAGAAAAGGTGAAAGGGCCATGTGATCAATAACAAGAGTTCTTCAAATCGAATTGTAGGATATGGGATTTCTCTCTCCACTAGAATTGAAGAAAACCTGCCCATAACAAAGTCTCATGGTATACTTTAGGAAAAATAAACTTACACAATAGCTATTGATGTTTTAAAACATAAAGCGCAAAATAAGGTGCAAAGGCGCAAGAAGCAGCCTAGAAAAAAGCGCAAAATAAGGCGCAAAGGCGCGCGCCGCGCCTTTTGTAGGTATTTGAGCCTCAAAGAGCTAAGGCGCCAACTCTCGAGCCTCACCGTGCCTTGCGCCTAGGCGCGCTTTTTATAACTTAGCACATAATCATAACTAACTTTTTATCTTTCCCATACAAAATACACATATACCCAAAAAATCATTACCTTTTCTCTTTTTCATACAATATTCACTACTTTTTTTATTATTCCCATACAATATTCTTTACTTTTTATCTTTCCAATTAAATATTCCCCTACTTTCACCATTCTCCTTAATTACCGTATCTTTTGAGAAATAGGCACGAAATTATGGGACGGAGGGAGTATAAGTATTTAAACTCATTTTCTCTAAACCTGTGTGTTTGAACTTAGACCTTAAAGTCTTTAAAATTAAGAAAAAAGAGATGCACGTGTCATTCCTACTTTTGTTACCAAAAGCCTGTTAATTATATTATCTCACAAAGTGACAAATGAAAAGGAAAACAGTAGTTATTTGGCTGAGGAAGTACTGCCTTTTACTCAAATAAATGAAAACCAACATATAGGGAAATATATAGGCATACATAACAAAGCTTAGAATAGGAAATTAGGAACAATGCATATTGCTAGAAACAAGAATTAAGCACATGCTTATCAACTAACCAAGTCACTAACCGGCCCTAAAAAGAAAAATCACAACTTCTATAAATATCAGAGACCAAGTTCCGGATAGTGACTTTTGGCAAAATGATATTGACTTGCAGGTTTTATACTTGGAATTGTTTGCTTAATCTTTATTAGGTTGATTAAGGGAGCATTGCTGGATAATTATACTAAGAATTTTCCACCAGAAAACGAAAGAGAAAGCAAAAAAGAATTAAGATGGATACCTGAAAATTAAATCCACCAGTTATCCCATCAACGTTCAATATCTGCAAAACATAAGAAATTTAGAACTCCTTAAAAATGCATCTGCCCCTGCCTTCAATGACCTCAAACCTCAACACACATTTCCACTTCTCTCAAAAAAAGATTGACCAAAACAATGGGTTACTAAATTTATCTACTTCTTTTCTGTGGTGTAGTGGCCAAGAGTCTCCACAATTACAGGGTGAACACCTGCAAGATCTTCTCATGTCCTGAACAAAATTCAAGAACAAAGAAGGGAAGCACTCTTCTAGTATGAATGCAGCAATATCAAACAACATAGGCCAAATTTACTTCAAGAAGCTACTAAGGAAATACAGCCAACTACTGAAACTGCAAAATGCAAACATAGAATGCCTTTTAAAGTTCATGCCATAAGGCCCATATACATAACTTCGGTTGTTTTTATGGTATGCCTGAGAAAATACATTACAAAGCATGATTATTAATTACCTCTCCTGCAAAAAATAAGTTGGAAAGTATTTTGCTCTCCATCGTCTTCAATGAAATCTTCAAAGGGAGATAGTGCAGGTTAAATTCAATATTATGAGATAGAAAGAAAATAACAGGGACGGAAATAAAGGGAGAAGTGAGAGTACCTCACTCAAGGGAATACCTCCAGCAGTGACAAATTCATCTTTAAATTGGCCCTTAAGAAAAAATCATGTCACAAATCTTGACAATTATAAATATACTAAAACAGAACTAATAATATTTAGAGAGGGCGAAGCAGGAGGGGGTGCTCATACCTTTCCTGTCACTTCAAATGGACACTGTTTTAGTAGGGAGGTAATAGCAAGCAACGCATCACTAGAAATGGAAGCCCACAAGATATCTTCAACTAAACCCTAGATAGAATGAAGTAGTTTAACAAACAAAAGTTAAAAAATATGTAATAGTGGTAGAACAAAAGAACTACTGTCTACCTCACGTTTGAGCAAATATCTCCAAAATCTCTTGACAAGATTAAACTCCGAAGGGCTTGAATTGACCACTTTTTGCTTCTGAATATATCAACATTTCAACAGAACAATAAAGTTATGCTCATAGAAATAGCAAAGTGTATATAACAAAGTGGTCAAATCACTCAATATTATGAGCCATCACCAGTAAACAATAATTAAGAATATTAAATTGCCTGTATGCCAAATAAACACCACATTTGTAAACAGCATCATGAAATAGCTTTCTACAGTATTAGAGGAAATAGATTCAGGACTACAGTCATGTTTTCTTTTACCTTAATAACACCAAGTAGTATTTTAAGTCAAATTGTATATTTTATTTCATTTCTAGGGCAAGTATATCATGTTCTGATGCTCCCTTCCTCCCTATCTTATTTTTGGGGTAGAAAGGGTACCTATTCAACTTAGGCAGATCACGAATCAAAATTAACAACAGCAGGAGATCGCTATCCTAATGAAGCTCTAAGAAGGAAAATTACTTACTGCAAAATTCTTCTTCTGCTTTAAGAGGATTGACTTCACTTCTTCTATATGAAGGTCCGGTGCAAAGTCCAAGATAAGTGTCCCTGGATACATAAGATTATGTCAGACACAGATAATGTAGTCAGAGTGTGCAAGCAGACTGTTCAAAGGTATTATTACCTTTGTAATTTGAGCTGTATAGATCACGAGCTGACCAGGCAGACAACCGAAGAATTGCAGGACCACTGAGCCCCCAGTGAGTAACAAGCATTGGTCCAACCTACAATCAACAAGATGAGTTAGTTTATATGTATTAAGAATATTGAAGGACATCACCATAATATTGTCATGCATGCCTGTGTAAGCTGTGGTATATTTCGTCGGCGGTTATCCAGTTTCAATCTTGCTTTTACCTTGGAGAAAGCAACCTAAACATCCACAAGACAGACAAACAGACACAAGAGTGTTATTTAATTTGTAGAATATTAATGTAGGGAAGGTTTCTAAGAAACATAATACAAAAAAGTGACTGATGGTGACATATAAGTATATAACAGCATCACTAAAACAGGTTAAGTCATATGAGTAGCTGAAAATGGTTGTAAATCAAAAAGGAGGATGGTGGAGATATCATACACCCGATAGTTCAGCCAAATTAGAGTCTTTGATCTTGAAGGTGAAGAGACTAGGGACAGGATCTATAATCGTATGGCCAAGCTGACCTGCAAGACCATAACCCTGTGAAAAATTGTAGTAACATTGCATAATTATAATATCAGGTTCATGAAAAGTACAATCTTAAAGCTCAAACAACCTGCTTGCTACTTCCAGTGGCAATTAACAGATAATCAGCTTCAACAAGATCAGCGGTTGGAGAAGTATGCATCTTAATCCCAAGATCAAACTTCCCAGTAGCTTTGCTAGTCGCAGTAGTCACAGTTTTTCCTGTCTGCACCGACACTGCAAAGAGTGAAGCATTAACACAATTTGCAGTACATCAAAAGCATTTAGTGTTATGGAGAAACTCAAAGGTTGCACTCAGACTATGTAAACAACATGAAGAATAGATGAAGGAAAGGACTGTTGTTTTGTGAATCATAGAGTATACTGAAAGAAGATGATACTTGCAATATTTTATCCAGGTTTTTCGGACACTCAACCTTAAGGAAAGGCAAAGAAGAACTAACCACTGAGGAACACACCTTAAGGTGTCAAGAATGAACCTTCCCATTACACTTTTAGCTGAGAATCAAATAACAACCAAATGCTAAATTACTGATCAAGTGATCGTCATCGTACCCAAATTGCCATCTCAAAATTCTAAAGCATTTCAAGTCTTCTATATCAGCAAACGAATCATAAGTGACTTCCCAAATCTTAGTAGTTCTACTACAATGCCACAGAGTAATTTCATAGTTATTTAGTCATTTGACATTATTTAAGTTTTTTCTAGAGAATTGATCAACAGAGTAAGCTTTACATCTCACGTGAGAAAACAGTACTCCCTCTGTCTATCTTAAAGCTTCATTTCTCACAAAATTCTTGTCCCAACAAAACAAAATAAAAACACATTTTCATTTTTGTAGGGTCCATAACCACTACTTTTTCTATACACTTTTAATCAACCGAACCCCTCTAACCCCTTACTTTTTCTCAAGAAGGAAAGGCGATTCCATCCCACAATAAACTGTTCTCCCTACCTTCATATTCAACTTTAATCAACTATACCCTACCAAAATACCTCTCCTAGAAGTCTAAAACTATGCTCCTAGGAAAAAAAGGGCTTTTATTTAGGGATGACGGAGTGAAAAATTTGAGGTATCAGCATACAATATTCTATAAATTCCCAATATACATGTAATTATGAGTAGGAGACAGGGGTAAAAATGCACTCTTTCTCCAACCATGCTCTGAGAATCTGAGACAAGTCAGACAAATGAATAGAAATACAAACCACTGCTTTCTTGAATTTTTTTATACATGGTGCACCTACTCTTTAAACATGTATCACTGCACCGTTTCAAAGTTCTTTTACATAAACTATTACAAAATTGATAACAACAATATAATGGCATAAGGCAAGTTGATAAATACCTCCTGTTTTTCTAGCTTCAGTCATTAGGCAATCAATAATTGAAGATGAGCTATTGCTGACCGGAAATACCCGACCATCACTTTCCGTCTGATAGTAATACAAATGTAAAAGGTTTCAGTACCGTACATATGCATAGAAAGACCACAGAATAACAATACATTACTTTTGTGATAGAAGACAAAAAAGATGAAGAAAGAACAACGAAGGGTTTAGAAATATAGATGACCTTGAGTTTGACTCCACGACTAGTAAACCAGGACATAGTATCAAGTGGACTATGCATGCTAAAGAAAGATCCCTTTAACTCTTTGTTTCCCCTAGGGTAATGTTCCGCCATAATCTGCAAGAAATATTAGTGATCAACGACGATGAAATGAAGCCTATAAAAATAATTTTAATAAGTATTAGCAAGAAGATTGAATGCCCATTATTTTTCATAAACTACACATAATTATTGTAGATTTTTTGGTAGTAGTAGTAGCAGTAGTAGTAATTTCAATGGTAGTGCAAATGAATACAATTCAAATATTATTTCATAATTTTAGTACAAATTACATCTATCCTTTTTGAAAGAAGCCGCTACGAAAGCATGGTGAGACACTACAAACTTTAAGAATATCATTATTTGCTTGGGTGAAATTGAGGATGAGATTTACCGCAAGTAGGATACCATAATGCCAAAGCTCTTATGCTGCACTTACCACATTGTCAGGGCAATGTCCATTGGTCACATTGCATCTACCTCCTCCAGATATTTTTACCTGCATCATGCATAGATTACATAAACCCAGATCAACATCACTAATTCACCGTAGACAAGAAATAAAAATTTCTAAAATTAAAAAAAGATTAGAGACATTTTATGTTGAGAGAGAAAGGAAAGAAATATTGAAAACTGCTCAGATATATTAAGAAGGTAGCATTATATTCTCAATGAACTAATTCAAAAAATCAATTTCGGCAAAGTAGTGATGAACGCCAGCTATTAGCTTTTGGGGTAGTGTTTCACAAAAGCTACCTGAAGATACATAATCCCCAATTATAGCACCCTATGTCGGTATGTCCCTATGATTGGACATTGCAAGTGATCTGAAAAATAGACCGGAAGATTGCCTAAAACCCATTCATGATCAGAAAGAAAATAATCCCACAACTTTAGCTAGCCCAAATACAATCAGGTCCACAAGCCCTTTAGTTAACATATAACCAGAAATATTACCAAAAGGATAATTTTTTTTGTTAAAAAAAAAAAAAAAAAAAAAAAAATCAGCTGGGCACCTAGCTCCAGTGCAAGCTCAAAGCACTGGCAGGATCTACAGAGCCCCCTCAAGGCAGTCACTGAAATGCCTTTGTAGTGCTGGTCTAAGCTTATTTCAATGGCCAGAATCCAGATCATTTTCTAATTTTAATTTATTTACAGGGGTCAATCTATGGTCATGTGGCTTGATTTCCAAAACAAAAAAGCTCTATGCTCTCATAATACCCAGATCACTTCATAAATCATTTACTGTGCTCAGACAATTTCGAGTTCCATTCAAAAGTTTGAGATTTCACCTAAGGACTCTAGACAGGAAAGGTATTACTTATAAGGGTCATCAGTATTTATTTCCAGAAGTAAAATTGTTCTTTCATTTCTAAATTGTTATTGAGCAACCTAAATTTCATGATGCAAGGTGTTACTGATATCATGCTTGTATTACTACGTAAATTTACTGTATATTGGCTTGTAATGTCATTGCTTGGAGTTATGATACATTGTCACCTTTTTTTTTAAAATGCTAATTATGATCTATTTTAATGTTATCGTGCATAAGAAGATGATTATGAAGATATGAACAAACAGTTAGATACCGTGCAATTTGGATTACTTAACTCAAATCGTCACCATGTATTAGTCATATGTGTGTTTGTATGCTATTTCATAGCTAATTTCACCTATTTCATAACTAATTTAACTTGTCCAAAGATAATCGAGTAGAGGCCAACATGGAATTACGGCTCTTGGTCAAATCTATACCTTCATTCTCGAATCCAAATTGGTTCAAGATCATATCGAGTTATAATTCTCTTAGATCAAGATGCTTTTCGGATTAGCACTTATTAGTCCCTTTAGCTGTCTCGTTCACAAAATCCATCAATAGTTTAGAATTCTTTTAAGTACTTGCTAGGGACTCTACTTTTTCCCTATCGTATCCCTGATCAAGCAAGCTAATTTATAACTTCTAAAATTGTCATTCATATGCACGTTTACAATGATAGGCTAGCAATTTTATCACTACACAACCCAAACTACTACTTAAGGTAATGTTTCACAAATTCTATTATAACTAATTTCCAAATAATTAAATGGATTAAAATCCTACTTTGACAACTAACCTCTAAGGCTCTAATAACTGAGACTTATCGACTAACATGTAAGAAAATAGCTAAGGGCTACAGTCTACAAACACTACAACTAGTTATTCCTAATTATGTTGGGGAATAACAGATAAACACAATATCGGGAGAAAAAATAATATATAGAACTACAAAAACTACATACAAGATTTTTACGTGAAAGAGCCCACCTCGAACATTTAGGAAAAAACCCTGGTCCAAGACGAAAACAGTTTTACTAGCAAATAATTTCGAGAGTACAATGATCACCACCACAACTACAATATCCAATACAATGTATTTTAGGATGGTCTACATTAAGTACCCTTAACATTGGTACTTATACAAAACCTAAAAATACCCCTCTCACTAATATCATATTTGTCTCTTCTTCATTTCTTCCCTTCCATTTATGACACTCCTCCTCTCTTGGTTCTTCAACAACTCATCAATCTTCTCATGTACAACAAGTAACCAAGTCAATACTTGAAAGAACTTGTTCCCCCAAACTAAAACTAGACACATCAAGTCTAAAGTCTTCCTTCCATTATATGACTTCAACCAACTTAGATTTTAGTGTCCACACCTTCCTTCCATTAGATGCTCATTGTACTCCCGAAATTATTGTTAAAGTTATTTTTGTCCTTGGAGATTGGGGCCATAGTTTTTCCCCTTATTGTTGATGTGAGGTTTTCCACGTAAAAATCTTATGTGTTGTTTTTGTAGTTCCATATTTTATTATTCTTCCCAACAAATTACCCTTAGACCATCGAAATTACTCAAGCAAAGCAGAGGAACATTACGGAGCTTCTCAAGAGAAAGTACTCACTCCATTCCTACTTGTTCTTCCTAAAAGAAATGTCTCAATTACAAAGCCCATCTTTAACTATTTATTCTCACCTGTACAAACTAATCCAACAACATATTACACAGTAGCATTTGATTGTTATATATTAGTAAGAAAATGTGATCAAAGTTGATGCATGAATAGTCTAAAGTCAAATTGTTACAAATATTCATGGACTAAGAGATTATAATGAAAAAGGAATACCCTTAGAAATTCCAAATTAATTACTGTAAATCAATTCCTTTTGCAAACATGTATAGCATTCAGACAAAACCCAGAAAGTTTATCAGCAAAACAAGCTCATGCAAAAAAGGAAAGGGAGTTAAAAGTGGTGGTACCTTAGATAATGGCTGCCCTTTCTCAATGACAATAACATTGAGTTTGGGTGCGACAGTTTTTGCCCAAATTGCGCCATAAATTCCGGCAGCTCCGCCACCAACCACCACCAATAGTTCTTGATTACACTGCCCAAATTTGAAAAACATACACATAAAACAGGATAAAATTGTAATTTGCGAAGGAGATAGAAAAAGGTGATACCTTTGGATTGGGAAATTGGGCAAAGATTATTGGGAAATTTAATTTTCTGGAATTTTTGTTTGAATTATTGGTAAAGGGTACTGGAAAATTGCAGTTTCGATGAAGGAAGCTGGATTCAAGAGCTAAGTTTAAGGTCATGGGTGTCTACTAGTTATGGGTGTGGAGTGCAGAGGTTCTTCAGGTTTACTGTAGTTTGCCAATTTTTCTGCAAGACAACAAGATAAAATGGTGGAGAGGTGGGACCGTGGGAGATATTAAGAGAGGGCTCAATTTTGTTTTTTTTTTTTTTTTTTTTTTAATTTTATTTTTCACATAGTTAGGAACTTAGAATTCAAGTTAACTCTTTTAGAGCTTTCACTATGGTTAGCTATTAGGCCTGTACAAAAGTATTTGAAAATCCGAAAATACAATTTACAATCGATCCAATTTTAAGATATTTGATCCGAGTTTTCATTTCGGATCGAATGTCGAATACGGATTTGGATACTGATTTTCAAATTTTCGGATATCCGAAATTAAAAGGGTAAATATTGAAATTAGATATATTTTTTTTAAAAAAAATTGAATATTCCTTAACAAATCAACAAAAACACATTACTCACTTACTTTCAATCTCTCACTAATAAGTAAAAACACTAAATTCCTCCCTCTCTCTATGTTCAACCGCCACCTCACCCTTCATAGGCTCATAGCCACCGGCCACCGTTCACGGCGTTCAAGCCCTCACACTCTCACGACTCAGATCTCCTTATACGCCCAGCCAACCTTAATTTTATTTTTCATTTTCGATCTTCTACTCGCATTAGCTCGGCAAATCGCCATTCTTTTCGACCTTAATCTCAGGTATGTATGTCGATTTCATTGTTTTGATGTTTTTGTTGGTTTGCTTGTTAATTTGGATGTTAATATAGTGATTATATTATGTCTTATTTGTTGTGAATTTCGTTCTATATGTTGGAAATTTCGATTTTTTTGTTGGATTTTCGATCTAATAGTATTTGTTGGGAATTTCGATTTTTTATCTGATTTTTTTTTTCTTTTTTTATCTATTTGTGTTAATTTTCGATCAAATTTTTGTTTCTACTAGTTTATTTGTCATCTCAGATTTGCTACTTTGATAGTTTCCCTTCCCTGACCAAAATTTTTATTGCTTATTTTCTGAATTTCGTTATTATTTTTTTGTTGCTTATATTTTCTAGCAACTTGGCAAGAGTACTTATTCACTTATTGTAGGTTTCCGGTTTTGATGACTAGGGGTGGTTAATGGACAGGGCTGCCCATTGATAATAGGGTCGGGCCAAAATTTTAGTGGACAGGGTCACTAAAGCGCTTTATTTTATAGGGTCTTGACCCAATGTGTGTCTCTAGAAATGTGTTTTGTTGAACCCATTTGAAAAAATTTGAATTTGATTTGAATGTTGATATAAGGTTGTTAGGCTTGTTTGCCTTATGGCCTAAATTTCGACATCTTGTTGCGAAGCAGAATATTGATTTACCAAATTCCATTCTAGACTTTGGCTATATGTGAACATTGTTTGCGAATCTTATGAACCCGTTCGGAACTTTGGATATTTTAATCCAGGTTGAATTAGTGGATTTCAACTGAAAATATATGTCACCTACATAAAGACTATCATTTATGTCAATGTTTACGCAACGCCTGCCCAAGATGGCAGTGGATCTAGTGGCAGTGTTTTAGGTGGGGGCGGGGTGACCGGTGAGGTGTACACACTTACCTCAGTTACCTGTGCAATGACAGAGATTTTATTACATTTAACAATTTGATTGGTAATGCAACAATTTGCTGCTGCACAATTGATTTTCTGGTAATTATCAATTTGATCGTGAATGGCGAGTCGCGTGTTTTATGATCGTTAGTCGCACTGATATACCCATTTATGAAGCTGAATTGGGTTCTGCATTGAAAGTATGTCTCTTAATTTTGACCATTATTCGTTGCTAAGTATTTTCATTTTAGTTCAGCAAATTCGTTAGTTTTTTATTTGGGGAGAATTTTCATTCTTGAACTCAAAATGCTAGAACATTGTGTTATTTGTTCTCTATTATTGCTATTGTGTGTAATTTATAACAATTTATTGTATGGTAAAAAAATATCTATTTGCAATTTAGAAGTAAGGTGAATCAGTCAAGTATTTGGACTAATATTTAAAATTGTTGGGTTTAATGTTTCGGTCTGCACAAGTTCTGATGAAATCAAATTTCCAGTAGAAATTTAGTGACATGGATTGCGTCCTTTTCATGTTTGTCTTGGTACAGAATAGATGATTATGAGATTCGCAACCGAGATGTCGGTATTTATGGCAAAACATAAACTTAGAAGATAGAGTTTCATATACGGAGCTTGTCGATATGACACATTTTGTTATGTTTTGACTAGATAAATCAGTGTTAATATACATTATCTTTGTGTATATTGAAAATGGTTGATTGCAATTAGTTTTTCACTCAGGCTGAATTTTAATCATGCTATTGTATAGAATGATGTGCTTCTTGAGGATGTTGTTTTGTGGTGCTGCTTTTAACATTTTTCTTCTTTGGGGAACAACCATGCCAACTAGTAGATAGAAGAGAAAGTGAGAGAAGTGCAGAAGGCATGTGTACTTTTACAGCGTGTTTGGATAAAGAAAGGGGAAGGAAAAGAAGGGAGGGGAAGGGAGGGGAGGGAAGAATTATGAGTTTTCCTTTTAAATCTCTCCATTGTTTGAGAGATCAATTTCTTACGATTCAATCCCTCCATTTCTTTTTCCTTCAATTCCCTTCCTCCCTCATTTGTTATTGAAATAGAAGATACTCCACCCCTCCATTTCCCTTCCCTTCCTTTTCCTCCATCTCCTTCAATCCAAACACACTGTTAAAGAAGCTATGAACGACAAGGCTAGCTTTTGTTCTTTATATGGCTATATTTGTGATTGCAATTACAATTATATTATTCCTGGAAATTGATTTGAATCCTTGATATAAGTTGTTTGCTTTGCATGGGGGTTTGGATGAACTAAAGAAAATTTAATACAATGGGGCAAGTGGAAACACTATTATGGGCAGTAGCTTCGAGTCCATGTTTAGAACAAGATGTGCATATATCTATGGGATCACTTTGACTTAGGGTTTTCTGTGAGTTAGGGACCAACTTATCCTGGGCTAAGAAGGGTTAGGATTTCTGGAGTACCTTGATTTAGAGATTTGAAACACATGGTTAATTTGTCAACTAGTAGTGATCCTGTTGAAGCAAACTTGCTGTCACCTTTGTCCATAGAGTCTTTACTTATTTAGCATCTATGTTGTTTTTGACTTATTCATCTATTGATGCTTGATGTTACTGGTTATATAATATTGCCATCTTACTCTAATTTTCAGAAGGAAGATGCTGCACAGCAGCACCAGTTTATTCTACATGCATCTCTAGACATAGTCCAGGACCTTGCATGGACTTCCAGTGCTATGTAAGCGTCTATAATTTTAGTTTCACAGTTTTAATCTTTCATCCCAAGCGGTTGTGGCTATATGTTTTTGTTTTGATATATATATTGTTTCTTTGCTTTTTAGTTCCCTTGCTAAAACAACCTATAGAGACAACATGTAATAATGCCAAGTGAACAAAACCTAAGTTGGTTTAGAATTTCAAGAGATTAAGCTGTTGATAATCTTTTTTACCATTTTCTTCATTGTAATCGTTTTATATTGTAATTCTTAATTTGCTTTGTGGGATAGTATGTTGTGAACTTGTGATTGTAGAATCATCTAGAAATAATATTTACTGACATTCCTATGGTTCTTTGCTTCACGACGCATAAAAGTATGATTATATTTTTTTTTTATTTTTCTTGTGAATCATGATTCCTAGAATATACTTGTTTTCCTTGCTTCTAATTACGTAATTCAATGTAACTGCCATCTAACATCTCCTTTAACTAAATGTTGTTTGAGGAATCTTGATAATCCTTTGTTATTTATTACTCCCCGATTATTTAAAAGTTGGTAACTCTTAGAAAGTGCAAAAAAATATAAAAATAAATAAATAAAAAGATGAACAACTCAGATATGCAATACTTTTGTTCAGCACCCAAGCAATACTTCCTCCATTTTTTTTTTACTTGCAACAGTCTAATTCCCAATTCTCTATTTCAATCACAAATATCTTTATTTTCCAATAAAGTAAAAATTATAAATATTTGTCAATATGAAATCATAAATCAAGGTGAACCTAACAAGATTTAACATGACTATGTTCTTCCTTAAATATAAATCATCAAATCTAATCAAAGTAGAGTATGTAAATAGTGTATTAGTCAATGTGTTCCAAGTAAAAAGAAAACGGAGGATGTATTAGTTTGATTTTGGACGTCTAAAGTGTATAGGGTGGAGGGAATATCAAATAGAGTGGTGTGGTTTACATGTATGTTTTCGCATGTGCGCTTTTTTTTTTAGCAGTTCTTAAATTAATATAAACAGCTCTAATGTCATTGGGATTAGTATAGTTCTAGAATCAGCCACAAGCTTCCTCTTTGGTTAATTGGTTAAGTGTTCTACTATTGCTGATTCAAAGCTCTTTTAGGTGTGAATCCTAGCTTACCTCTTTTGGGTGTTTTTTCTGTCCTTATGTTCCTATGTGGTTTATTTGCTGTAGTCAGCTTAATTTTCTTTGGATATTGGGGAAGTTGCCTGCGTCACAGTCTGAAATCTGAATGTGAGGTTCTGTATGACTTAGTCTTATACTCTTTAAAGATCCTATAGGGGTGAATTCTTTCTGTATGTTCCTGTGTGATTCATTTGCTATAGTCAACATATTGTTTTCCCAGTTGTTAGAAGTACACTGTAAAAGGATTATTTTCTTGAAGTATACTGGATAAGCTAGAGTAGATGGTGGTGCTTTCTCTGGGTTTTGGGGAAGTAGCCTCTGCGTCACACAGTCCAAGTATAAGGTTGGATTCTAATACTATGGATACAAGAAAGCTTATATGATGATTTCCGATTGAGATTGTATGATTAAGACTAAAATGGTTGGCTTCTGGAAAATTGGTGTTTAAAATGACCTCTTATATGGGTGAGCTAGTGACACTTCTGTTTGTAGCCTATCACCTGTTGGGTAGTACATTTGATAGAAAGATAACTGGATACTTACTTTGGGAAATGCTTCTTGTACTAGCCACTTAGAGCATCTTTGGTAAGAGCTGTTTTGGGTTAGAAACGGATTCCATTAAATCATTACCGTTACCAAATGCTTGGTTGGAAGGTTTGGGTAACAATTGCCGTTACATAGGAGTAATGGTTTTCACCTATTTGTTACCTCTAGAAAACCTAAGGTAACAATTATCCTTTCCCTCAAATAAAAAGAAAGGAAGTTATGTTTAATTGATTTCTTTCCATGGTTAAATTAAACAAAAGAAAAGGTAAGTGTTAAATGATTCCTTTCCTCTCTCTTATTTGTTTCCGTTCTACTCCATTTCCAATATTTATACCAAACACTCCCTTAGTTTCATAAGTCTCCCCCTCCACAAACTTCTATGGTAAAAATTTCAAAGGTTAGAACGATTAATCTTTTGTTTTTGAAAGACCATGGACAAGAAAGTAATATATTTTCCATGTATCCTTGTTTGGTTTCCTTATAGTATTACCACAGCATAATGGCTCATGAGGCCAGAAGGGGGTTTAGTGTGAATACTTCAATCCCTTTTCTCAACACATTGGACTGGGTCCAGCAAATGTATGTTTTATGTGAGATGAAAACCTGAAAACACGTGCTTACTTATTTGTGGAACAGATCCTTGGAACAAAAAAGGGCCGTTTGGAATTTCTGAGAAGCCTTTTTTCTCACAAGTATTTTTGGCTATGAGTGCGAACTAAAATATAAATATATATAAATAAAGGCTTAATCTTTATATATCTGAATCATATTTGGCTCAAGAGAGAGATGGGTGCAATCTTTTGTACTCTGTTTAAGTGTATCCATTTTTAGGGAATAGCTTCGACTAATTTATTGTGATTGCTGGTGTGCATGTTCTCAAGACTCAAGCATGTACTTTACAAATTCTTAGTTTGTTAGATGAAGAGGCCTTGGGGAAGGCAGGAATCAGATCTCCTGGTTTACTTTATAACTTCTATGCTATATTATTAGTCTTTGATTTACTTTGTCATGCAATCTGGAAAAAAAAACAAAAAAAAAGATCAAGCTGCTTAATGCTACATGCAACTTTGTGTTATTACCACATAGTAGTTCGTTATTCTAGTAGCACTTCTATATTAGCCTTCTCATCTGCTAGTTTCATTTTCAGTTATAACTTCCAAATTTCCTCAATCCCACCTCTGATTTTTTTTATTTTTCAATTGTTACAGCAGAAACAATCAATGTTATGTTCTTATGTTGCTAAACACACAATCTCTTTGTTATCATAATTTATCTTCAAATTATGTTAAATGTGACTACAGAGAGTTATCATGGTTCTGTAGTTAGTGATTGATGTATGGTTTGACTCATCCCTGATTTTGTTGACCTGATGACTTTTAATGTTCAGATTCTTCTAAACCCCCTTTATCTTCCTGGCTCGCGCATTGCATCATCACATTTTGATACAAAAGTCCGAGCCCTAGCCAGAAAATATCTGTGAAGCGGAAGTTGAATGCAAAATGAGCAGATGCTGCTATTGGATGAGACAAACAGTTTTCTTCTCAAGCTTTCTTTGGCTGACATTTCAGTTTGAAGTCAGGTTATAAAACATTCTAGTTTATACCAGGTCCTGTTATGGTGTAATGATGTATTGCCCTTTTTTTTTTTCTTAAAATGTTAAAAAGTAAAACTGTTTAGCCATCCTTGTAATTTTGGCATCTTTGATATAATTGTCTTTTGCAACACAAAATAAGGTTGTCTTAGGTTTGTAGAATGACTTCCATTGTTGATCTAAGGTTTTGACCGAAACATACATGTTAATTTTCAAAAGAAGAAAGATTGGTGAGCATTCCTTTCTCATTCCTCCATATCACTTGCAAGAACAATTTGTATCAATTCTGAAATATGGTTCATTGAAAGTAATTAATATTAAAATTGAACGTAAATTATGCACACTTGCCATCTTAGAAATTGGTCTGTGCTAATATACCAACAACATGCCAGCTAATGAATGCTACAAATATGACAATTTTCATTTCACTGATGATAGAGCAAAAGATGATTACTTTTTTTTTTTTTTATAAACCCTAACACACAAAAACACCCTAAACAAAAACAAATAACTTAACTAACAAAAACTAACAACTCTACCAGAGGGACACTCCACCATAGGGAGACGAACAAACTTTTACAATACTACTTGTGTAGTTTATTGAAACCTAAATTGCAAAACGAAAGAAAATAGGAAAATGGTCGAAAATAGTCTAAACCCGAAGAAATTAAATTATTTTCGGTCTAAACGGCTACAAATTTAGAAACACTAAAAGAGAGGAAGAGAGAGACGGAGAGGAGGAAGAGAGAAAAATTTGATAATAATTTTAAAACTAATATACTACCTCCGTTAAATGTTATGTGCAACTTTTGTCATTTTGGGATGATCGGGGTTATGTGCAACTCTCTGTTTTCTTTCTATTTTTAGTAAACAAAAACCCTGGAAATTACATATTTACCCTTACTTAAAAATTTTGATTTTCTTAATTTTACCCTTATCTTACTTTAATCACAATAACCTTTTTAATCTAATATAAAATCATTAACCTAATTCTACCCACCCCATTTACTCATCTCTTCTACCCACTACCCATTCATCTCTTTCTTCAACCTCTCTTCATCTCTGTCACCCCCTTCATCTCTTTCACCTTCACCCTCTTTATCTCTTTCAACCTCTTCATCCCTCCTCCCTCACGAGTCACGACCACCGCCCCTCCCACCACCATTCTCTCTCCTCCTTCACGACCACCTTCCATCCCACCACCGTCTTTCTCCTCCCTATGACCACGACCCTTAGCTCCCACCACCACGAACAGTGTTGTCTCTCTCTTCGAATTTTCAGCCGGATCTGCTTTAGGCTTGGAACTTGGTTTTTGAATTTCAGTCGGATCGATGATGTGCTTTCTCTCTCTTCGAGCGTTGGATGATGTGCGATTAACGATCCATATCATTTTTTTCGTTTTTTTTTTCTAGATCTGCTTATTGTTGATTAACGATCCATATCGTTTTTTTTCGATTTTTGTACTTTTTTCGTATTTTTTTGTGGGTGATTTATGTTCGAATTTTCTGGGTTTTTTTTTTCGATTTTCTGGGTTTTGATTTCGATTTTCTGGATTTTGATTTCGATGTTCTGAGTTTTGATTTTCTAGGTTTTGATTTTGTATTTCTGGGTTTTGATTTTGATTTTCTGGGTTTTGATTTCGATTTCTGGGTTTTGATTTTCAAGGTTTTGATTTCGATTTTCTGGGTATTGATTTCGATTTTCTGAGTTGCTGTTCTTCGTCTGATTTTCTAGGTTTCTACGGTGGTGGGTGGGTATAGGGGGTGGGTGGCGTGGTGGGTGGGTTAGGATTAATAGGTTTTCTACGGTGGTGGGTGGGTTTGGGTACTTGGGTGGTGGGGTGGTCTGAGTTAGGGTTGGGTCTTGGTGGCGTGGGTGGTGGGTTTGGTGGCGTGGGTGGTGGGTTTGGTGGCGTGGGTGGTGGGGTGGTCTGGGTTAGAGGTGGGTCTAGGTGGTGGGGTGGTCTGGGTTAGAGGTTTGGGTGGTGGGGTGGTCTGGGTTGGAGGTGGGTCTGGGTGGTGGGGTGATCTGGGTTGGAGGTGGTTAGGGCTGATGGTGGTTGTGGTTTCGTGGGGTTGGTAGTGGTGGTGGTGAAGAAGGTGGTGGTGTTGGTGAAGGCGGTGTTGGCTGGTCTTTGCCACTTAATTATATTCTCTCTCCACCTTAATTACATGCCACAAGTTACTTAACTTTCTCTCATCTTTACTCCTTAACTTTTGCATTGGTTTCCGCAAACTTCCATTTATTTGCACATAACATTTAACGGAGGTAGTACTGTTAAAATAAAGAAAACTAATAAAAAGAGAAAAGAAATTAAATAAAAAGAAAAGGAAAGGAAACTAAAAATAAAAATGAAATCCCAAAACCAAACGTCTCTTGCTTCTTCCTCGATTTTCTTTTGTTCTTCTTCAATCAGCTTCAACACCACCACAATCAAGAGCATTCTAAATCAATTGACACCGTTAATCATCATTGATTATAGCCTTTGTATTGGTTGAAAGAACCTCAGCCGTAGAAAATCATTAATCTGTACGATTAGACCCGTAAAAATGGAGCAGCCGCGCGAACCCATTCGATCTGTCACTCCTTTGTTTTGCCCCGAACTAGAACAACTGGACTATGGAGCACGCGTGTCAAATTATAGGGTGCCCGTTCCACATTTGCTCTGCTTTTTTTTGGGTTAAATTGTTGCTTGATGCCGCAAATTGGATAAGGTTGTCCCCTTGTTACGGTTGTTACGGTGGTGTGGGTAATTGTTGTGGTGGTGTTGGAGGAAAGGCAGTAGCGTATCCAGGAATTCAAAAGTGCGGGTTCAGAATCGTTAAAAAATAAGATATAGGTCCTCCGTATGTTTTTATTGCAACGTTGGTGATTTCACGCTTGCAATGCACACTGTATAACCTAAATATCTTAAGTTATTTACTTCCTCCGTTTAGTTGACACTTTATAACTTTTACACTATTCACTACTACACTTTGACTATCTTTTGTGATTTATAGCTATGATAAAACATAGACAAGTGAGATCTTGTTTGAATTGTCTCATTGTATATTTTATCAATATCCACTTTTACAATTTACAATATCAAGATCAGAGATATTAATCGTTAAAATAGGGGTTGGCAAGCGTGATAAAGAAAGGTGTCAACTAAATAAAAACGGTGGGAGTATTAATTTTCTAAAATTATAATTGTTGATATCATGTATAAAAATATTTTTCGAGAAGAATCTAACAAGATCCGACTTTTTTCCCAATGTATGAATCACAAAAAATGATCAAAGAAGTGTATGTGTAATATCACAAAATTACAAACGTTGCAACTTGCAATCACAAAAGAATGTAGGGAGTATAATTATTAATAGATATGTTCAAATTCCGGCTTACAACAAATAACACATAACTTAATACAATTGAATACATTTAGAAAAAGGGGATTTACAAAAGCATTCAAGTTTTTATAAACTTTGGAGAAAAAAGTTGGGGAGAAAAACTAATTAAGGAGAAAAAATATTTAGGGTAAAGGGGTTTGGGATATTGGAAGTTTAGAAAAGTAATTGAAGCAAAAGGGAAAAAAATTAAAAAGGCTAAAAAATGAATGTTTTTGGGTATTGAATCCATAACCTTGAAGGCCAAAACACACAAGTAGAAACTCTATCCTGCCATTGGGTTATGTTGTTTTTCCTGATTCACTTGTATAGACAAATTGTTTATATCCCTTTTTTCGATTTGAAAAAACATTTCCAAAAATAAGTGTGTTCAATGAACCCACTTGAAACCAGTGTGGATCTGCCACTAATGAAGTGTGAAGGGGCTGTATCAAGTTATAAGCGAAGCAGGTCAGGCATTGGTAGGAAAGGTGTTCTAGGCAATGGACGATGCTAATTTTGTGGTGGTTAGTGGTTTGATGTGTGTCGCGGCTGTTGTTGTGGGTGATGGTGGTTGCGAATGAGGGAGCAGGGGATTGCGACTGCAACTGTTTGGTGTGATGTGTGTGTTGGGTTTCGAAGTGTTCGACACTACGTGGAATGAACCCCCCCCCCCCCCAAGGGAATCGCTCTCACCTCCAAACTCCTCTTTACCCAACTACCATGACCACCTAATAACTACCCTTTAACAACTTTAAAAACACCACACAACCACCAAAACCACCACCTAGCCACCAGAATCATCCCTAGCCGCCGCCACCACTGCCTAGCCACCATTAGAGTCGTCCCTAGCCGCCGATACCACTACTTAAAAAACCCTCTCCCTCTCCGTAAAATGGTCGCCTGACCCTCCTCATCTCTGTAAAACGGCCGGCCTGCCCTCCCTTTACTTCCCCACCCCTCGCCGACCGTTTTTGTACTTCCCCACCCCTCGCTGGCGAGGCTAAAGACATTGGTATGAAGAGTATAAGGTTGACCAGAGACATTTCCTAAGAACTCGAAGTCAATCTCATCATGAGTTGGTCCTTGTGATGATAACTGCATACCAAATAAACACCAAATTTAGCCAACTGATCATATAGAACTAATAACTTGGTTTTCGAGGCAAAAGATCTTACCAAAAAAAAATTAATAGTATGAGACTTGCGTAATAAGCAGTGACAGTACCAGCAGATTTTCCAGGAACGAGTTTAAGCTGCATATCAATTTTACCGAACAAATACTCGTTTTTGGACTGAAATCCAGAACCAGAGGTTTTATCTAGTGAAAGAGTAAGTTGTTGGCCATTCTCAAGAATCTTACCCCGGCCATCACCCCAGGTTATGTCGAAGTCTCGGTGGAAGTTTCCAGCCACCAAGACTACGCCAAATGAAGAAGCAATGATCAAGAGTGTACCCAACAAAAGACTAACTTGTGTTTTGGTAGCAGCCATATTGTATATTAGTAAATGAAAAAAAGTGGACTAGAAGCAATGGTTTGTTAAATTCGATTCAATATCTTAAGTATTTGTTATACGTGTCCCTCAACTTCCCCACCCCTCGCCGACCGTTTTTGTACTTCGTTTGGTTTCTTGGTCTAGCCGGAAAGTAAATCGATTTTTGGGACGAGAGGAAGTGCGGCTCCAAGGGTGGTTAGGAAGAGGTTTCGAGCGTGGTTGGGAAGGGTTTTGAGGGTGGCTGGGTGGTTGGGGAAGGGTTTCTAGGGTTTTTTTTAGGGTGGGGGAAGGTTTTTGGGGGAGGGGAAAGCTGTTAGGGAGGAGAGGAAGTGCGGCGAGGGGCGGGGCAGGTGCGGCGAGGGGCGGGGTGGCTGGAAAAGTAGGATAATGAAGAAAAAGGGGGTTGTGTGGTGGTGGTGGTGGTGGTGAGGTGGTGATGTGGTGGATCCGATTACCTTTGATTTTTAAAACAAACAACACACTAAATTTGAGGGATTTTCATTCCATTCTCTATTATTTCCTTTGTTCATTCCATTCCCTTTACCCATGCAAACCAAACGGCCCCTTATTGTAACATACTAACATCATTCAATTTTTTTATTCATATGAGAGTATTTTGTTTGTACTTATTGAACTTATTTTGTTTAAATTTACTCTATTTAAATTATTTTACTTAAACTTATTTTATTTGAAATTATTTTTTCTGATCAATTAATTTGAGAATTGGCAAATATTCCGTATAATAATTGAGGAGAACTAAAGAGAGAGAGAGAGGGACAGAGAAAAGTAAGTAACAAATGGAGGGAAACTGTGTGGAAAAATAAAATAAAAAAATAAGTATTTTTTTTTTAAGGCCATGGTTGGGTCAATATCTGAAAATTTTGGTCAACGATCAGAATCCAACTAAGGTGCCATAGTACACCAAAAAGTGTTCTATAAAGTATAACTGTATAAGATAGTTTATTTCACAAAACCCGGCTTTTTTATTTTTTTATTTATTTTATTTTTTTTATAGGGTTTTGCTCATAATATTAATGATAATTTAGGGCATATGAACATGTATCTATACGAAGTATATATGGTGCATTTGTAAATGGTAGTTGATATTATACTGTGAACACATCCTATCCTAATACTCTTATTTATATTTAATTTTTTTTATTTTGAAAAAAATCACTATTAAGAGTTGTAGATAGTAAAATTGAAGTACTCATCTGTTTGTGTCACAACATAATGGATAGAATATGGGTGTTCAAGTGAAAGAAAATAAATCAGAAACAACCAGTTTGATTAAACCAAAGATTTTTGCTTCTATTAATCATAACATGATTTGATAATGCTATATTACAACTTAACTAAAAGTGGAAAATTCTAGCTTATAGTACTTGCTAGTTGCTACATATAAATAAAATCGAATCAAAGAATATAATTAATTGAATGAAATATAAGGTATATAGTTTTAAGCAGTCTAAGAAGTTGTGGTACACTCCTTAGGAAGGCCTTGAGGAAACCTTTTTAAGTCAGTGCAATAATTGTAAATCATGTAGTTCTTCTGCACCCATTTCATCCTAGCATGACTCGCGTTATCAAGCTCTTGTGTCAACCAGGCATTACCAGTAGTCGCGGTGGTTGAACGTGTGCTGCACGTTGATCTACCCCTTCCCATAACACAAGCATTGGCATTGAAGTTCCTGTATGATGCAGTGAATGGTGCTTTTGACCAATCTGCCTTCACCCTCCCGCCTTGCGTAGCCCAGTCATCTGCATTCCATAAACTCGAGTATAATCTCATTGGCTGTCTCTTTGGGAATGGAACTCCAATTGACTCAGAGTTCTTGAACTCTCTGATGGCTGTTCCGTCGACAGAGAATCTGTAAATGTGTAAACACCATCAGCATTTTCTCCCTTTAGATGTCTTATAATGATTTTAAGGTACGATTTTGTAAGGAAAAAATTTATTTTCCTTAACAAAATTTCATTATTTGACCATAAATAGTATATGTGACTATTAATTTCAGATGAAGGGGGCAGGGAAGGGCGGACTAGTTAAGTAATTGCTTGAATGAACGTAAACTTACATGATTCTTCGGGGATTCCAGAGGATAGAATATGTATGAAAATCAGCAGTAGGATCAAACCAAAGGTGAAATTGTTGTTCCCTTCCTCCTTTACCTTGGCTAAAGACATTGGTATGAAGAGTATAAGGTTGACCAGAGACATTTCCTAAGAACTCGAAGTCAATCTCATCATGAGTTAGTCCTTGTGATGATAACTGCATACCAAATAAACGCCAAATTTAGCCAACTGATCATATAGAATTAATAACTTGGTTTTCGAGGCACATGATCTTACCAAAAAAAAAAAAAAAAAAAAAAATAATAGTATGAGACTTACGTAATAAGCAGTGACAGTACCAGCAGAGTTTCCAGGGACGAGTTTAAGCTGCATATCAATTTTACCGAACAAATACTCGTTTTTGGACTGAAATCCAGAACCAGAGGTTTTATCTAGTGAAAGAGTAAGTTGTTGGCCATTCTCAAGAATCTTACCCCGACCATCACCCCAGGTTATGTGGAAGTCTCGGTGGAAGTTTCCAGCCGCCGAGACTACGACAAATGAAGAAGCAATGATCAAGAGTGTACACAACAAAAGACTAACTTGTGTTTTGGTAGCAGCCATATTGTATATTAGTAAATGAAAAAAAGTGGACTAGGAAATGATTAGTGAAAATTGATATGTTACGTTCGAATGGCGGATACGTATATATAGGTAAGAAAAAGGAGGACGACAAAGGCGAAACAGCTGGTAGAAAGAAGGATTACAGGGGAAGGTCATGGTCTGAAGTTGTGGAGGATGAAGGTGAAACAGCTGCAAGTTTAGCTGGATGGATGTGTTAGTAGCAATAAAGCCGTGGGGCGTTATCTACTTTTTTTTGTTACGTAATATTCCTTCCAAATTTTTTAAGTGTCCCTTTATAACTTTTGCATTATTTATGCACATCATTTTTACATTTGACTAATATTGATACTTTGAGATGATTCTAATGTAGTTTTATTATTTTTAACTATCATAATTTTTTAAAATGAATGGTTGAGATTATTTGTTTTATTTATTTATTTTTGATTAGTAATTTTAATTAAAAATAATTTTTAATTATTTTAAATATATTTTTATCTCCCAGAATTAATTTTTTTAAATATCTTCGGAATTCTATAATTAAAAAATATATATAAAATAATTTTAAAAAAATAATTTTTAATTAAAATTACTAATTAAAGATAAATAAAAAAACAAATAATCTCAGTCGTCCATTTAAAAAAAATTATGGTAGTCAAAAATCATAAGACTACATTAGAATTTTCATGATACTTTGTAGACAAGATTAAACATAATTACGTAGTATGTGGTACTCGTTACAATCGTATATCAATGTATAGTTTCCGAACATAAATATTTATATATATATATATAAATTTTTAATAATTTATACCTATTAATAATTAAAGATATTACGAGTATTAATCAAAGTTTCGCGTTGGCATTTATATCGCTGAAAACAAAATGCTTTGTAGGGAGTAAGGGAGTAAAATTTGTGGTTATGGACCTACTACACGTTTAAAATTTGTTGCACACGCCTGGATCATTAAGGGTTTAAAAAGGGGTGTTCAAAACTTGTGATTCATAACCATATTGGCCAACTTGCTAGAGTATACATAGGTGAGGGTTGAGGTAACTTGGTTGCTTTATTTTTTAAATATGTCGGCAGGGATGCTGTGTAGGATTTTGGATTGTAGTGGATTTATTTGGATAAGGAATTACTCTCCTGATACATTACAAGTTGTTTGTCTAAGCTAGCTAGTTTCCATATGATGAACGACTTTAAAAGATCACGTTGAGTTGGAAACTTAAAATGTATATGAGTGTACATAACCACTGGTATAATGTATAAGAGTACAATACTTGTACATATTGCACTTAACCTTGCTAATAAATTTGAAATAGAGGTGTCAATTCAAGTTTTTGTTCAGGTTCAGGCCGTGTCATTTTGAATTTGAGTCATCCTAGCTTAGGCCGTGTTATTTTGAAATAGAGGTGTTAATTCAGGTTTTTATTCAGGTTTAAGCTGTGTCATTTTGAATTTGAGTCATGCTAGCTTATTTTGTTCATGCAAATTTAATTCTAAATTGAGTCACTTCAAATTAGTTCAGTCGGTTATTTTGGTTCGATAAGTTTTAGAGACCTCTAATATGAATTCCATCCTTATGAAATTGAATCAAGTGACAACTTCATTAATTTCTAAAACAGATATGTTTGCTACTCGATATTTCTTATTGGTGTCAATGTATTAAGCTATTAACAGAGGGGAGTGGGTTGGCCAACGTATAGCGAAGCTGCCAAACTTTAAAGTCTGAGCTTGTATTGATGCATTTGTATATTTCAATCCAAAATCAAAAGTTGTTTGATGAATTCATATGGCAAACTTTTGATTAATGATATTCAGTGGCGAGAAAATTGGAGGAGCGGTATGTTTTGGCCTTTTGGGCTTATTTGGGGTCAGCAATTCGCCAATTCAGCTTTACAATTACGCAAATTCTTGTAGCTAATGTAGCCGCACCACCTACATATATATGAACATATAGTAGTTCAAAAATAAACATACATTTTTTTTTTACTTTCCTTATATCTTAACTCCTTCTCTCTTCTCTTTTCTTACCTTTATTAATTTTCTATCTCCTCTGTTTTCTTCTCATTTTGAAACTTTCTCTCCTTTATTACCTCTATAAAAAAAATAACATGAATACCTCACTTTCCTTCAATCATTATTCTTTTTTGTTCTTCTACTTCGAACATTTTTCAATTCGTCACCATTGTAGCATCCTCCATTGTCATAATCTTCATCGCGACCGTGAATCATGAGGTGATTTTGAGATTTTTTTTTATTTTTTTATTTTTTTTTATAAATAAGTGAATGTTATAAAATTGTTGATTTCTATCAATTTTTGCATTTGTGATTCCTAATCTATCATTTTATAGATTGAAAATTATTTTCTCCATGATGAACCAATATAAGATTTAGGGTGGATATTTAATTTATAGATTTAAAATAATTACAATCGAATTTGTGTATAATTTCTGTAAAAAAAAGGAACACGTAGTACTTTAAAAATGAACATTTAGTACACTAAAAATGAACATTTTATACAAAAAATATGAAAATATTTTAACGATTTATTTTATCTTTATTTTTGGGAATTTGAACCTGTATGAATATATGAAAATCATGTTCATTTTTAATATAATAAATGTTCATAATTAACATTTTTTTATATGTTCATTTTTTTAAAGTCCATATATTTTATGTACTGTTCATTTTATTATGTATATGGGTTATTTTATGATTGTATGATAAATGTTCATTTTATATATACTAAATGTTCATTTTTTGTTACTAATTGTTCATTTTTTTTAACGTGTTCATGATACTTTTTTTTTTTTACTTAATGTTCATTTTTAAGGTCGTGGTCTAGTAATTCTATGGTTATGATAATCATGCTTATTTTTAATATACTATATGATTTTTTTTTATTTTTTTTTTGTAAGGTATTCACTGTTTAATACGAAATTTTCAATTTTTTTACGTGTTCATTTTTTTATTAATAAATGAGCATTTGTTTACGTGTTCATATTTTTTTTATGACATGTTCATTTTATAGGCCGTGGTGCATCTATCCTAACTGTACCAGGGTGCATATAAGACTTATTGTTATTATTATAGATATTTACAAAAATGCTTTCGATTTTATCTTATTAGGTACAACTAGTTATATCATGAATAAGCTAAGCAGTGGTTGTTGTTATTATTCTCCTAAGAATCTTGTTTGTTACAAAGCAGTTTTGTCATTTCGTACTTTAGTCCATAATTTATTTATTTATTTATTTTAAGTGACACACTTTTCATAAACTTCTGTTTTTTTAAGTGGTACACTCCCTCTTTTTGGATACATTATACTCCCTCCGTGTTTAAATAATTAAAACGTTTTTCTTTTTCGGTCGTGTTTAAATAAATAAAACGTTTCCTTTTTTAATAACCTATATCTATTTTTAAATAATATTCTCTCTACTTTTTAATAATATTAGATGAAAGCTCATGCGATGTACGGATTTTTAATACATAAATCTCAAAAAATTACTCCGTAAATTTCTTAGTTAGACTCTACATTTTTTTAAATTATTTGATTCATTTTATTATTTAAAGATTTCAGACAAAATAAAATACAAATCTCTTTTATCATTGGTTTAAATAAGCCCTTGCTTATACGTTTATTTTAATAAAATATAATAATGATATCAATTATTAACGGTAAGGATTTTTTTAGAATATTTTTTTAGGATTAATTTTATTCAAGTTAATATTTTAAAATCATAATCTTACGTGGCTCTTGTTTTAAAAAATCACAATCTTATATGGCGTTCTAATTTTTTTTTAAAATCAAAATTCTACGTGTTGATCTAAAATCTTGGGAAAAAAACACCCCTTTATATATACACGGGATTTGTTTTGGGAAAAGATATAATGTAACTTTTACTTATTTCTATATTTTATGCTTTCCTAGTTAGATGAGGATTGTAATTAGGAAACTAAATAGATTTTAGGTATATAATCAACTAGTTTGGTGCCCCGTGCGATGTCCGGGTTGTTTACTGAATTAGAAGATAAACTTTTATTTATGTACCAAGTTTTTAAAATATATAATTGATACAAAATAAGTTACTCCTTCCTTGTTTTAATAAGTGTTACAGTTTGACCGACACATAATTTTAGGCAATTTAATTGACTTAAACAAAATAAGAGCTAAGTGGGGTAGTTAGAGTATTAAAAAATTATAAAAAAAGATATTAGATTAATAGTTTATTGAAAAGTAATGAATGTGAGTGAAAAAATATAATAAAAAAAGAGTATTAGTGGGTTTAGGTGGAGACCATGAGAGGAGAGAGATATATTATTTAAATGTAGGTTTTTGCAAGAAAAAAGGAAGTGTAATACTTATTAAAACACGGAGGGAGTAGGAATTGATGTGATTTTTTGACGATTTAAATTATGTAGTAGGTATGTAATGACTAATAATAATATTGGTGAAAATGTTCAATTTAAAAAATTATAAAAAAAAATAGCAAAATAAGCTTGAAATATTAGAAATAATTTCTAAAAATTAGCCAAAATAAATTAAACAAATAAAATTGTTCAAAGCCCGTTGGGTAGACCCGAACTTTGGGCTACCGTTGAACATTTCTTAACCCGTGACATAAAGTGACTCGACCCTAAATGGCCCGTGACCGACCCTAACAGGTGTACATACAGTAATAAAATCATATTAGATTGTGAAGTATTTTATTTCAATCGATTAGTATATATTATAAATGAATGTTGTACATTTTGAACTACTTCCTTCGCTCCTAAAAAAAATGATATAAAAATAAATTTATATGATAAATTATTTGATTGTTGTCTACGTGGTGCGACATTTGGTGAAAAGTTAAAACGCCAAGTGATGCTGTCTCGTGATCTGGCTAAACTTATAATTTATTTTGTACCTGTGAAATATTGGTATTTTATAGAATTAAAACTCTAAACCAACAATTTTATTCTATAAATCTATCCAAATTTTATTGAAAATAAAACTCTAAACTAACTTTTTTATCCTACATAATCTATCCAAATTTGTATCCTAATAAAAAAATACAACTTTTTTATTCATAAAAAATATATCCAAATAAATCCTACATGTCATACTAATATTTAATTGTTGCCTACGTGGCGCAACACGTGGCGAAAACTTAAAACGCCAAGTGTCGTTGTCTCGTGGCCTAGCTAAAAGTTTAGCTTTATATTGTTATATGATAAACTAGTTTTGTACCCGTGCTATGTCCGGATTGTTTATTGAATTGTAAGATAAACTTTTTATCTATATGCCAAATTTTAAAATATATTATTGATAAAAATTAATTAGGAATTGATATGCTTTTGTGACGATTTAAATTATGTGTAAGCATGTAATGACTAATAATAATATTGGTGAGAATTTTTTGATTAAAAAAGTATA